AGAATCTGTAATCAGGGCCAGGCACATGCTGAATTTTGGTAGCACTGCAGAATATAGAGGCAAATAATTTACCTCCCTGTAAATGTAAGCTGGTTCCCTTCCCACCCAATTTAAAAGTAAGATTCTGGTCCTTATGGATTCAAATCACAATACAGTGGTACCTTGCTTTACGAACTTAATCTGTTCCAGAAGTCCGTTCTTAAACCAAAGTGTTCTTAAACCAAGGTGTGCTTTCTAATAGCAGCAGGGGACTCAATTTACAAATGGAACACACTCAACAGGAAGCGGAACATGTTCTGCTTCCATGGCAAAGTTCACAAACCAAAACACCTACTTCCAGGTTTGCAGCGTTCTTAATCCAACTTATTCATAAACTAAGCTGTTCTTAAACCAAGGTACCACTGTACTCTTATTCCATGACACCCACTGTACCCTTTCCCTTTTCTGCACCTGCACCTTAACAACTGGACCTTGTGTGGTGTCAGTTGGTTAGAGAGTGACCAACATCTTTTATTCCAAAAAAGCCAAAATCTCCCCCAACTCAGACTGGACTGGGGGGGGGTGAGGGGGAGCAGAAGCAGGGGAGGAGCAACATTTGTCATAATCTGGAGATTCTGAGGCAGAGCTGGAGCAGGTAGCAGGTGGAACAAAATATGTTGCATGAAACACTGAGCTCTCTGGATATACAAAATGTTGTGCATGCAAGCCAATGTGGAGAAAGAAAAAAGTGGTGTGTGAGTGTGTGTGTGTAATGCACAGAAATGCACAAGTAATTAAAAAACACACCCATGTAGGTTCAAAGCATGCTGGAGGGTTTCTGTGGATATCTGAGGCTATGTAGGGGGTGGACCAGGAAGGCTCTGTGGAAATAAAGGCACAGGTTTGACATAACCCTACTGTTTATTTTTTATTTTTAAAAATGTTTCTCCTCTAATAAGGAAGCTGTGATTTTTCACAGTGTTGGCAGTTAGGGCTCTAAAAATAAATGCTGTGATTTACTGGGTTTGCAGATCCTGACACCGGTTACGCAACAGCAGACCAGGAGGGTTGGCTGCCTGGTTAGACCAGTGAGACATAGGCTGTTAAGTGACCCTCATCCCCCTGCGTTGGTGGAAGGAGCCTGGCTGAGTGGCAGAGCACAGCCTTTGCATGCGAAAGTCCCCTGGTTCCATCCTTGACGAAAGACTCTCACCTGGAAAAAGACCCAAACCCCGGAGAGACACTGTCAATTAATGCAGAATAGGCTGGGCTGGTTGAGCCAGCAGCCTCCGTCTGCACAAGGCAGCTTCCTCTGCTCCTCACACACAGAAAGAGTCCCACTGAACCAGACCAGTCTGCTGCTTTCTATGGTGGCCAATCTGACATTCCAGGAAGCACACGAGCAGAGGTTGCAGTCTGAACTTATTCCTGCTGTTTGTACAGCTACTGTACTGGCATGCAGAGGTAACAGGGTTATGAACCTTGAGGATCTGTTTTATCAATGTGGATTACAGACATATCATCCATCTAATCCCCTCTTTTAAAGCCTGAGAGCAAAGGCATACCAGCGTGGTGTTTTGGTTAGAGTGTTGGAACAGGGCCTGGGAGAGCAGGGTTCGAATCCCCCATTCGGCATGAGGCTCGCTGGGAGATTTTGGGGCAGCCACTGCTTCTCAGCCTCGCCTACCTCAGAGGGTTGTTGTAGGGGTTAAATGAGGAGGGAGAGAGAACTCTCTGTGCACACCACCTTGAGCTCCTTGCGGGGGCGATAGTGCAATATTGGTCCATCTAGCCCAGTATTATCCACACTGTCTGGCAGCAGCTGTCCAGGGTTTCACACAAAAGTCTTTCCTCTGCTGGGGATTGAAACTGGGACGTTCTGCATGCAATGTTCTGCTTTACCACTGAGCTAACAGCTGTCTGGATGCTGTTTCCCTGAAGGTGGGATTAGTCTGGGAACTGAACTGAGAGCCTTTCTCACACAGCTTTCCTGTGTGTGAATGAGAGAACGAGAGTGACTGAGTCAGACCCTGTAGGCCAGTAATATTGGGGAGGCATGGTAGGTTTCAAGTCTGCACAGACCTGTGTGCCAGCCATGCCATGTCCCCTAGTGGCGGTCCTGGCCACCTGAACGTTGCACTCTGAGGAAGGGATTGCAGAATGCACAAAAAAGTATATATTTTCTACAAATGAGACACAAAACTATCCAAAGCTATCTAATATTAGAAGCATGAGTAAGGCATTATTTTTATTTTAATCACAGGTTTCTATGGGCATTTCCTTTCTACACATTGTTTTGCTTCTTCCTCAGCGTGAGGCATTGTGGGCAAATTCCTTCCGGAGAGCACCTGCACCGCTGCTTTGCTGCAATGACAGCAAAGAGCTATTTTCCCTCCCAGTTCAAGTCTGTTTTTGCAGAGGACAGGTCTGGCAAGCTGGGAATGGTTGGCTGGCCAGTCAGTTGGATCCAGAGCAGTGATGGTGGTGGATGCGCCAGCCTTGCAGGTGGAGGAGGCTGGTGCCTATGATCCATCACCCTTTCCAATATGCTGCCTGAGCCATGATGGGGCCAGTCCCGGTAGATCTGTGGTCTTCCCATTGTGTGATGTGCTCTCAGTTGTGCGAGGCAATGCCTTCCTACAGCATGTCAGAGGTCAGCACCCCACCACCCATCAAATGGCCACATCTTGGGGTCCCATGTGGGGAACTGGTTGAGGGTCTAAAGGGCCAAAGATTAGTATTGTGATCTAGGGTTGGGTGCAGGTGCAGGTGGCAGAGACAGTGGTGAAGATACGCCTCTCCCTTTTGCAAGATTTGAGTTGCAAATCTGATGCTGTTTGATTACAGCTGAATCTTTAGCCAGGACATAGGACGGCTGTCTTTTAGCAAGTTGGCTCATTGGTTCAGGATTGTCTACAGTGAGTGGTATTGGCTCTCTGGGGCTTCAGACAATGAAGCAGATTCAATCTGACCTTCTGATGCTCTGCATGTTCAGGTTAAATAGACTTAGGATTTGGGTCTATAAGTGTGTGTGCATTTGACTCTGGATTCTGGCTTATGGGTTGGATGGAGGTGTGATTCTCCGGTTGCAGTTAGGGTGCACATGAGGAAGGCACCAGGTGTGTGTAATGGATGCTGGCCTCTCTCTCTCCCTGTCTCCCTGGGTGTAGCAGCCGCTGTAATCCACCGTGTTTCTATTTTAACAATGCTGTCACCGCTTGTACTGCAGCCCAGGCTGCGTCAGCGGTTTCCCCATCAAAGGCCTGTTCCAGGGATTTTTTGGAGCGCTTTGCTGGTGATTGGCTGCAAAGGCAAATTGGTTTATGAATGGATGCTGCTCCTGCTACAGGGAGGGGAGAAATTCCCTGCAGGTATTGCTAGGCGATGCAGAGATTCTAAAATAAAAATCTCCCCACCCCCCTCAAAGAAACACACCAAACCCCATGTGGTTCTTCCCAGTTCTCCCCTCCTCCTTTCTGTTCTCTGAAATGAGAGGCAGAGAGGCTTCTCTGGTGGTGGTTGTGAGAAGCCCCCACGGGAAGGTCACCTTGGAGTGATGCTGGGAGGCTGACTCTGCAAGTGCCTGACTCTGCCTTTGTCGGCTCAGGGTAAATCCCCTCCAGGCAGGGGGCATTTAGAGGATGCCTGCCTATGTGCCATGAGCAGGGAGGTCCAGAATAGAATTCTCATCTTGCTACCTTTATAGAACAGGCTTTTGCACAAACAAGTGTCTATTCCTTTGGACACACAGGTGTCTCTTCTCTTCCCAGTTTTTTTTCTTTCTACTTCCTGCTTTCTATCCTCAGCAGTCAGCTTCATCTTGGAGCCTTTTGCAGAGATGCCTATTTTTTGTGGTTGGTTTTTTTTATAATCTTGCTGATCTCTCCCCTTTCCTATGCCCTCTGCTTGATCCACCCTTTCATCATGGAAGCCTGTCCCCCTTTGCTTGGCAAGAGCAAAGTGGACCGAGATGATGCAAAAGGCGCTGAGCATTCTGAGCACAGGTTTGGTGTTGACCTTGATAAGGAATACAATGGTATTTCTCAATATTAAATTTGCAGCCAGTTGTGCGTATGTCCCCTCCTGATGGATATAAGGGGAAGGCCCATTGCTTCCTGATAAAACATGTGCTTTGCATGCAAAAGGCCCCCAGGTTCACAGAATAGTAGATTTGCAATTTGGAAGTGACTCCCAAGGATCATCTAGTCCAACCTGCTTCAATGCAGAATTTTCAGTCCCTGCGATCTCCAGCTAGAGTTGGGAGAGATCCCTGCTTGAAACCCTCAGAATGTGGATTCTTGGTAGTGGTGTGCTGACCCCCAAAAGAGAATGCCTCATACAACAAAGCTCCTCGCATCATGGGGAAAGTACAGACATGTTTCTTCTCTTCCTAGGCACTGTGTTGCAAAGCCAAAGTTGTACTAAACACATTTGATTATGAATTTTTTAAACCCCAATATCCTACCACTTTAAACAGCCATAGCTTCCCCCCAAGAATCCTGGGAAATGTAGTTTATTAAGGCTGCCAAGAGCTGTTAGGAGACACCCCCCCCTCTATGGAGCTACAATTTCAAGAGTTCCCTCTGAAGAGGGATTGGTTGCTAAACCACTCTGGTAATTGTAGCTCTGGGAGGGGAATAAGGGGATCACCTAACATCTGCCAACTTCTTTTCCCAGGATTCTCTGTGGGAAGTAATGACTGCTTAAAGTGGTATGATGATGCTTCAAGTATATAGCACGGGTGGGGATTGTGATGGCCATTGGCTAGAAACAATAAAATCTACTGTGGTGTTTTTTGATTGAGGTGGGGAGCCTTCCACCAAAACCTCTGTTCTGTTTCTGCCCAGGAAGAGGGCATTAAGGCAGTGATGGACCTTGGGCTCTCGAATTTCAGTGGCACCTTGTGCGACACTAAAACTTGCCCCCAGCCTCTCTCGCTACATTCTACAGCATCGTTGTGGCGCCCCCTGCAGCATGGTGCCAAGTGCACCCGAACTAGTTGTGCTCCCCTAAAACTGCCTATGGTTAAGGAGTCCTCTGGCCTGCGGCTTGGCAAGTACAGAGTGCGAGTGAGTAAGTGCAGCCAATGTCACTGGCCATTTGAAGCTTGCTGAGCTAAAAATGTTGTTCCTACTGAAAATAAGAATCACTGGCCCTTGCCAAACGAGCAATTGGGAAGCAGCACCACTGATTCCTCCTCTCCCTTTCCTTCTTCTTTTTCTCTAGGTGCCCACGGCTTAAGGGAGGAACCCGAGTTTGTGACAGCTCGTGCTGGTGAGAGTGTGATCCTGGGATGCGACGTAATCCACCCACTGACCGGCCAGCCCCCTCCTTATGTGGTGGAGTGGTTCAAGTTTGGAGTGCCTATCCCCATCTTCATCAAGTTTGGGTTCTACCCTCCCCATGTGGACCCAGAATATGCTGGTGAGTCTTCTTTTTACCCCACCGTAATAAAAACCATGGAAGAATTTTTCTCATTTACACTAAAAACTTGAATGGGTTCTATTATTTGCATAGGGTTTTGTTTTTTAAAAGACAAGCATGAAAAAGGGAACCACCTATTAAGCAGGATTATGCATGCTTCATCTAATATAAATCCACCAGTAATGCACTACTTTTGTTGCAAATTAACAACATGTTGCATAATACACTTGTAAAAAACACACCAGGCTGAAGGGATCCTTGTAAAACCATCACAGTTGCTAGCCAATAGGGGCTTACCACTGTGGACTCCCCCCCCCCTTTACAGGCAGCTGTTCTGTAAGCTCCTAATCTGCAGGGTCTATAGATTCGAAACCTGCAGAATCATTTCTTGTATCTTTCCCACCCCAGAACTTGTAGTTGCACAGAAAAACTCGTATCTTGTGTTCATGACTGGGGAGATAAGATGCTTTTCAAAGTGACCTCTGCCACAAGTAAACCGCTGCATCTGTCTTTACCCTTGGTTCAATTTGGGCTGGCTGGTTAAATACAGAGATCAGGCCAGACTCGTTTTGCCTCTTCCTCTACCACCACCACCACCTCCCTCTTCTTTTTCAGGAAGTTCTTTCTCTCTTTCCCCCTTTTTTTATTCCATCATTTCCGCCTGGTTGGTTTTAATTAAGCAGCGGCAGAGAGAAGCCAGCTGGGCTGTCGGGGCCAAGAGAAGCCGAGGCAGCGAAAAGGAGGGCATCCGCTGCTGCTCCCGTGCCTGTTGCCTTGGCTTTCCAGTGGCAGCAGAGAGCCCTGAGTGATGCTTTCGGGGGCCCTGTGCTGGAAACCTCATGTGACATCCTCGGAAGGGGGAGCTGCTGCTGCTGCTGCAACTCGCTCGCACGCTCATGTGCTAAACCTCTTTGGACGGATGCGTTTGGGGAGAGCCGGGGAGAAGAGAACGAGAGCTGACATTGTGGAGGGACATGGCCTACCTTGGCATGTCCTTGTCCCCAGCTTCCATGTGGCCCAGAGGGCTTGACTCCAGGGCCATCTCAGGATAGCTCCAAAGACGAGGATGCCTGGTAAATGCTGGAGGACTCCTGTGCTTACTGGACCGTCCTTTGAATTTCTGAGAGCTTGTGTAGAGTTGAAAACTTTGAAAAGCAAATGTGGAAGAAGGCAGCGTAAGGGATGGAAGAGAGTGGCTTGGATGGCCCTGGCTCTGCTGCAGGCACCTGCCTCTCCCACGTGTCTAGCTGAATGTTTGCTGTGGCCACAGGCAGCCAGGAGTGCCCCTGGCACCATTCAGGAATGCAAACTAGCTTGTTAGGTCACCTCTTGAAGCACTGCAGTTTTCCCTGCACTTGAGTGGCAGGTTTGGAGAGCAGATGCATTTGATGCTGCTACAGTAGTTCGGGCATCATTTGTGCAGCCCATACCTCCCAAAATCTAGCCGAATCCAATGCTGGGTGTCAGTTGGGCGCTCTCTGTCTGTCTGTCTCTGCCCTTGGACTCTAAGAAGAGCTCAACTGCTAGATCACACCAAGAGGGCACCTGAAGGGGGGGGGGAAGAAACAGCAACACACTGGCCTGTGCCATCAACCAGAGGACAAAGGCCCCTGGGAGGCCCCTCCCCTTACTTTCCAGCACAAATACCAAAGCATGGGAAAGACTAGCCTGGCTCTATTAATCAGAGAAGGAGCAGCTTCAGGGAGCTTGCTTCTCCCTTGCCTGTCCGAAATAACACTTGCCTCCAACCATGAGTTTGAGCTTGGGGGCTGCACTGTGGAAGCAAATTCCATAGTTTAACTAGGCACTGTGTGAAGAAGTGGGAGTTGTAGTCCAGCTGCATTAGGGAGCACCAGGTTGGTTTCTCCTTGTCTTCGCTGACAGTAACTCTCCATGGCTACAGGAACCTAGTCTTTCCCAGTCCTATCGGGAGATGCTTGGGATCAAAACCTGGGACCTGTAAAACACAAAGCTGTGTCCCTTTCCCAAGGCTATGGTCCGAGTGCATATCTCTCACAAACTCCAGATGTGTGAGAATCCTGGTGGATAAGGAGGGACATTGCAGAAGCATATGCAATCCTGAGTGGCATGGAGAGAGTGGGTGGAGAGATGGTTTCTCTTCTCCTTTTCCCTAATAGTACTTGAAATGTGGGGAGGGGATGTCCAATGGGAGTGGGTTTGCAGGTCTCTGAACGCAAGGAGCATGCAGTTTTCAATTCTGGCAGTGGGAGGGAGATGGAGAGGTTGTGAAGGTGGGGTTGAGGATGCACGTCAGAAAGTAGAGTTGCTCTTAACTCAGGTCTCCTTTCAGCTGTAGGCAAGGATGAAAGGATTAAACGGGCTATGTGAGCAGGGTGGGTTTTGAGGAGGGCTCCATTCTGTGCCTCTCAGTCTAGTCCTCCTCATTCTCCTTTTCCCTTCTCTGTTACCTGGTTTGCTTGCTTCGTGGGGGATTGCCTGACCCTGAATACACAGGCTCTTTCTTGAAAAGGGAAGGGGAAGAGGGAACAGCTTTCAGTGATGATATTTTAATCCCCAGAAGCTTTTCTCTGGCCTCAGAGAAGACTGGAAACCGGATGCATTCGCTTTGTCTGTTCTCTCTCTCTCTCTCTCTCTCCCTCCCTCCCCCCCCCCCGCTTGATGCATCTCGAGATGCAGGAATTTCCCTGAGCTTTTTCCTGGAAACTAGGGGCTCTGGTGTCTAAACAAGATGCAGCAGTGATGGACACATTTTCTTCCCATCCACGTTGCCCCTGCCTCATTCCTTTATAAAGCAGGGGATGATGGGGTTGCGTGTCTTACATCAGCAGGAGAATGTGGGTCAGGGGTGCTGAACTTTCCACTGTCCCTTCCCTCTAACCCTTAATCTGTTTCTCCAGGCACTCTCCCTTCCCCCTTCCCAGCTCACTTCTGATATCAAAGCTGGGAAAGGAGCTATGGAGTGGGGCGGGTTCTTCACCCTTTTCTTGCATGCTCCTCTTTCTGCAGCCATAAGACCCTCCCACCCTTGCCTGCCTTGTATGCAAACAGGGCAAGGCATGTGAATGATGATCCTGCCACTTCTGATCTGGCCCTGAGTCATTCATGCCCTTCAGTGTTTCACAGCTGCAAATGCTTGTACCACACAAACGAGTTACTAGGATGGTTGATGCAGCTGAACCACCTAAAATGCGCCCCCAAAGAAGGACTCTTCCAAAATATGCTCAGCCTCTGTGAAACCAAGCACCCGGAGTTTCCTTCTCTCTGTCTCTGTGTCTACATCTCTTTCTTTTGTTTTGCCTTCCCAAGTCTCTGGTTGTTTTTCTACTCCATTTCTCATACTGCCTGACACCCCGCCCCCCCACGGACTATTGCTCACATTGCTGGAGGCTCTACTGTTCCAGCTGCTGTAACCATGTTACTCTGCAATAGCCCTCTCCTCCACAGACTTAAAAGTGGTTGCTGTTGTGGTTAAAGGTTAGCTTGAAAAGCATCCTTGAGGTTCAAATATTAGCTGTTCAAAGCACATCTAGGCAGCATGTGAAACGGAAGGCTGGGTGCTGCGTAGTGATGGTTAGGGCTCCTGCACATGCACATATTGCCCGAGGAATGCCCTTCCAAGTGATGCCTGCCTGATGCCAACCTTGACATCTTTCTAGTGCCAGGTTATGGCTTTTCTCTTCATGTGGGTATTTAATAGAATTTATAAAAGTTGTAAACTTGCTTTGTAAGTTACTGAGAACTTTGCCTTATTCTGAACCAGATCATTAGTTGGTCTAGCTTAGTACTGTTTTCACTGACCAGCAGCTGATCTTCAGGGTTTCAGGCAGGGGTATTCCCAGTCCTACCAGGGGATTGAATTCGGGACCTTCTGCATGCAAAGCAGGTGCTTCACCACTGAGCTATGCCCTTTCCTGGCCTGTGTTAGTTGTCGAAGGTCGTATTCACACTGCAATGTCACTTTAAACAGTCATGGCCTCCCCCCAAAGAATTCTGGGACCTATAGTTCATTTTTTTTAATTTTATTTTTTTCTAAACTTCATTGTTTTAATCAGAAAAAAGATAGTAGCAGGTAGGATGACAATGAACACCTTATTTACAGAGATGCTACTTCCATCAAGAAAATTAAAAGGACAGTTTTCTACATTTAGGATATTCCCACAATGACAATGATTTTTTTAAAAAAATATCACCACAAACTTGTAGCTGCTTCCAATATGCTTTTCATTAACTCTGATCTTTCAGAACCATATTCAGAAGTACAGGCCTAATTGAATCAGATGTACATATAGCTATTTTAGAGTTACAACAACTTGGTCTTAAGATAAGAAGCAGTGAACAGCAGCCGGTGCTGTAACAAATCACAGCTAAAAGTCTTCAGTCCATCCTGTTCCTTCAAATAAGGTCAGCAACATTCATGGGCATTTCATCAATCTGAGTGGAATAGTACTGCTCAATGTCTCGTAGAATACGGATGTCGTCGTTCTTTACAAAGTTGATGGCGACACCTTTCCGGCCGTAGCGGCCTGATCTACCAATCCTGTGTATATACAATTCTCTGTTGTTTGGCAAGTCATAGTTAATAATCAGGGACACCTGAGGAACATCCAAACCTCTGGCCCAAACATCTGTAGAAATAAGAACTCGGCTTGCCCCAGATTCATTAAGGATGCTGAGAGTTGTTAGGACAGGCATAGGCAAACTTGGCTCTCCAGATGTTTTGTGACTACAACTCCCATCATCCCTAGCTAACAGGACCAGTGCTCAGGGGTCCCTGGAAAGAGGGAAGAGGAATAGATGGTTAAACCACTATAGGAATTGTAGGTATGGGAGATGAATAGGGGTCTCCTAACAACTCTGAGCACTCTTAATAAGCTACAGCTCCCAGAAGTCCTTGGGGGAAGCCATAACTGCTTAATGTACCATATTTACTTGAATGTAGTGTGCCGTCGAATCTAATGTGCACCCTAATTTTCATGACGTAATTTGGCCAAAAAAGGGGTGCATTACATTCAAGTAAAAACGGTAGTATCACAGTGCTATAAATGTATGGTGTGGCCTATATACATAAACAGGGACAATTGAAGCTGATTCATGAGTCTTGTAGGTGCTGTTTTGAACATCTTCCATGAACCAAAATTTAAAAGTCCAGTGGAAGAAAATGTTTAGTGTTCTACTCTTTTGCGGGTAAGCACCTGGTATCACAAACACCATGAATGCCCCACACAACTCTTCTCCTACTGGCAAAATACGGCTCTGCAGTTGCCCTGAATGCCCTTGTGCTGCCCACATTCTGTTGGGTTCAGTTGGCGAACTCTGTTGATCTCTACCTTGTTGCTCTCTTCCAGGCCGTGCCAACCTTCATGACAAGGCATCTCTGCGCATCGAGCAGGTTCGCTCCGAGGACCAAGGCTGGTACGAGTGCAAGGTGCTCATGCTGGATCAGCAGTACGACACGTTTCACAATGGCAGCTGGGTGCACCTCACCGTCAATGGTAAGTATGGGGGCTGCTTTGCCCAAGCCAGCTCTGTATTGCTCTCTTCTCTTGCCAAGCATGTGTGCTGGCCAATCACACGATTGTTCTCATGCTGTTCCATCAGGTGGAATTCTCCCTTTTCATCAAAGCATCTGCTGTTGCTTATTACAGAAGTAGGACCAATCATGGGAGATGTGTATATGTGTGTGTAATAATGCAACTAAATTTATCTCAGGGTAGACCTATTGAAATTAACCTAGTCCTGTTCATTAATGTCAATGGGTCTGCTTGGAGTAAATATCAGTAAAGAAGCCTAATTATCTACCTAGCTATTCCACAAGCTCAGTAACTCCCTTGCGCAAGGTGCGTTTAATTGCTTGGCGCTCCCTTGACCTCTCTCTGCATCCCCTGGTTACAGGCCCTGAAATTTGAGGACATCACCCAAGGCCCCCATGTGCTTCATACTCAGAAAAAGCACATGGAGCAAGCACCCCAAACCCACACCAACCCAAGAATAGTCTAAATCACAATCTTGTCACAGTGGCCAATGAGTGGGAAATAAGAATGAAGGGAGAAAAGGGGAGCTGAAATGATTGAAGGGATGGAGAGACTCCTCCCTTTGGAGGGGTTGCAGGGTTTGGGACTTTATAGTTTAGAGAAGAGGCGAGTGAGGGGTGAGATGGTAGAAGTTTGTAAAATTATGCATGTCATGGAGAACATAGATGGAGAAAAGTTTTTCTTCCTCTCTTATAACAGAGAACTTGTGGACATCCAGTGGAACTGAATGTTGGAAGATTCAGGATAGGAGAAAGAAAGTATTTTTTCATTTGTTGCATAGTTAAACTATGAAACTCACTCCCCCAGGAGGCAGCAATGGCCACCAACTTGGATGGCTTTAAAAGAGGATTAGAGAAGTCATGGATGATAAAGATTGGCGGTAGTTGCTGGAAACACCAGGAAGGGAGAGTGCTTTTGTGCTCCAATCCTGCTTGTGCGTTTCCCATGGGTATCTGGTTGGCCACTGTGAGAACAGGATGCTGGACTAGATTGGCTGCTGGCCTGATCCAGCACGCCCTTCTTATGTTCATATGGAAATGGTAACAGAAGGAATTGGGTTTTAAAAAATAAATTACCATTTTATTGAAAGAATTTCAGTGATGAAAGAGCAAAGAAAACGGAGAAAGAAATAGTGCAAAAATACAATAAGAAAAAGATAATATAGTATATTTACCATAATCAGTTACATTTCCATACGTTATTATATATAAAATATTATTGTCCAAATGCATATATGGTTAATAATAACCTACTATATTTTGTATAAACTTTGCTTGGATAAATATATTGAGAAGGAATTGGAGGTTAAAACAGCTGACTAACTGTTGAGGCTTCCTTTGGTACGAGGGTAGTAGAAAATAGAATGAATAGAGCTGTACACATAGTTAGATCCATCTGCCTCCCCCTCCTCCTGTGGTGAAATGTCTGTTCAGTAACATTGCTTGGCTACCTAAACACTGAATCAAGTTGACATTTATAGAGTAAATCACAGGAGGCTGTAATTTTCTCTGTAACCCCAACTACTAAATCCCTTTTCTGTTGCTCAAGTGACCACAGCTGTATTCCTGAATGCAATTATTCAGCTTTTCCTATCATGTAGCAGCAAGCTTTTCATGCACACGTTTTGTCTTCTGAACTTTCTCCCGTTGACTTTGCATTCCACAGCATTCCCCCCCCCCCCGTGGGATCATCTTAGAAGGTAATCCCACATGGCTGCTTCCATGTGGGGAGCAAGAGAGGGAGAGAATGTCTCCTCAGGCTGCTGGCTGATGCATGGGCCTTCTTGCCCCTTTGCAGGACATAGCTGTAAGAGTTTGTCTGGCTTAGCAAAGCTGAAATGTCAAGTTTCAGCCTTGGATTACTTTCAGCCAAGTGGTAGAAACTATGACAGCAACATAAATATGTGGGAAACTTAGAAGTTTGAGGAGGTAGACAGGAGTTGAGTCAAGATCTGCAGGACCATGGACAGCTCATTCTTAGCTGCCACCAATTTTGTTCTGATGAAGGCGGCCAGAGGCCTCTCTGCTGATTGCCAAATTCATTCATTTATTGCCTCTACTCCCCATCTTTTCTCCAAGGAACTCAAGGTGGTGAACATGGTCCTCCCTCTCCCTATTTTAGCCTGACAAGAACCCTGTAAGGTAGGTTAGGCTGAGAGGCAATGATTGGCCCAAGGTGACCCTATTAGCTTTATGGCTGAGTGGGGATTTGATCCATGCTATCCCAGGTCCTAGTCTAATGCTGAAACTGCTACACCACACTGGTTTTGAGGAGAATTTGCACAGGAAGAAGTTGCCTAAGCCAACAAAGGGTACTTCATCATTAGCATCCAACTGTTGATCTTGCCTCTGATGAAGACAAACTGCCTGGATACATGATGTGTTGAGTGAGAGGAGCCAGGCCTGGGTTCACGGTCTGACAATAAACCCTTATTATCAGAAAAAGAGTCCTCTCCTCATATTCTGTGCCAGCAGAGTCAAGGGCTAGTGGCCCCGCAAGACGGATATTCCTGATTCAAGGTTACTGTTAGAGGGTCTTGAGGTCTAGGTGTGAATAGCTGACTGGGGTCCAAGTTATCATGGCAGCAACAGATGGAAAGTACCTTTGCTTCCCAGAGCTTTCAGTTCCTGCTTCCAAGGAGGAAAAGCACATTAAGGAAGTGCTAGTGTCCTGTTGTTCAAGAAAGGCATAGCATCCTAGGGGGAGATGGAGGTAAGCATGAAGTTTTGGAGAAGCAGTGACAAGTGAGGTGGAGCAGGTGTGCAGCAGCCTGTTGGTAGCTGGGTGCTGGAGCTCAGTGACAGTTCTGGAGCCGAAAAAGGGATCTGGTGGCAAAGTTTGAGAAGCTGTAAGTGGGTGGCAAGGAGCAGTCCAGGCCTCCAAGTTCCAGTGAGAGGGAGAGGAATTACCTAAAACTGGCCTTGTAGGAGGTGACCCATATTATTATACATGGAGCTGATGCCTCTCCCATGAGCTGCTTAGCGTTGGGACAAAAGTAGCAACTACCTGTGCTGAGATGGCTTTCAGTAGAACAAGGAGGGGGAAACCTCCATCCAATGGTCCAAATGCAGCCCTCCAGATACCCCTTTGTGGCCCATAGAAATCTCCGCAGGCCATGCCCCCATCCCTCACTGGTCTTTCCTTGAGTGATATTGCCCAGCTGCAATATATCCTTCAGCTGTGATAATGGCTCTTGCTTACCAGCATGGAAGATGGAGAAAGATGTTTATGCAAAGATCTGGCTTTTGCATGAATGAAAATATAGTCCCCTTGGACAAAGGTAAGAACCTTTGTTCTTTTGCCTCTGGCCCTGCTCACTGTGGACGTGTGGGCCCCGGAAGGTCACTCATGAGCAAATGCTGGCCCTGGGCTGAAAAAGGCCCCTTGCCCCCTGTAGTAGAATAACATTATTGGATGTCATCAGGAGAAAGGGAGGAGTGTTGATCAGGGATTGGTAAGGATGTCGATATTGGAGGGTTAACAAGCAGCGGGGATGAGCAGGAAAACGGCAGCTCGTGGACCTAATCCATCTCCCTGAGGAATATTGCCCTGCTTTCTGGTAACCCATTTCTGTAGGTGAGATACAAAATGCTGGTGCATCCTTTTCTAAGAAGCTGAGTTGTTGACCATGGAGGAAACTGCAGGTGTGTCTGGCTGCTGCAGCATCTCACCTGCATATTTGCATCAGACTTGTTTTGCGACGCCCTTTTCAGAAATGGCATTTAATGCTTGTGATTCGTCACCTGCGACTTTCATAAGCTGTGACAGTGTTTGGGGGTGATCAGCGATGTCAGAAAGGGGGGCAGAAGTGTTCCTTGAAAAGCGGAGAGGGGAAAGTGAGTGACCTCGTTAAATGGCTCTGCTCTGTGCCTAACTTAAAAGACGTGCCTGGGAGATGGGAGGAACAAACCTCCAGGAAAATGAGCAACTTGGCCTCGTTAACTTTTAATAAGAGCTTTGCACTCAACTGAGCATCCTTTGAATGTGTGTTTCTTGAAGTATGAGGCATGCTCACTGAGGCAGACTCTGCTTCTCGTTCCAGCTGCACGATTTGCAAGCGGTGGCAAAGCTCAGGAGCTATGCCTGCATGAAACCGTGGGCCGGGCTTTGCTTTAAGGCTTGGCTCCAAGGACATCAGAGGCTCCATTTATTTTATTTTATTGCTCTAATTAGCTAAGCCTTGAAGTCTTGCAAAATGCGGCATATTGTCATGTCTCAATTCAGAGAATGGGAAAGGAACTGCTTTGTAAAAATCACAGGCCTCCCCCTGTGTGTCTTTGTCTTTTTTTCTCCATTGATGGGGAAATGTCTTCGTATTTTTTTGGCTGGCACTTTTTTTAAAAAAAGGAAGCCACCTCTGGGAAAATGTTTAGACCTCTAGAGCTTGTTGAAAGATCTTGTAGTGCAGGAATGGTGAACATTTGACCCTCCAGATGTTTCTGAACTACAACTGCCATCAGCCCAGGCCAGAATTGCCAATGGCCAGGGATGCTGGGAGTTGTACCTCAGCAGTATCTAGAGGGACACAGGATCCCCACACACCTGCCCTAGCAGTTCACTGCTAGGAGAAAGGCTGCTTCTGAATATTCATTTTGACAACTTCGTATCTACCGTGGTGCCAGGTTTAATGCAGCCACTGCTTCCTCACTAGATAGGTCACTGCAGTACTGCTCAGAGGCCACAATATTTATAATTCTTCAAGTTTACTAGGATTTGATTAGACCTAATTTTATTGGGATCCCCCCACACACATAGAAACATTTTCACTCATCATAGAAAATCAAGCAACGCTACCTTGGGACAAAGGGGCACTGTTGTTGCATCATGGCTGACTGAAGAGAGAGATTCTCTGACTTGCAGAATAATCAATGCAGGCTTCAGAGTTGTAAAGTGCTTTGGGGAGGCTCTGGACAGTGCTGCATTTTCCCATCAGCATTTTGGATGCTTTTTATTTTTTATTTTTTGGAATGTGACATAAACAAATGAGCTGAGGATTAGAGCATATCCACCGTTAATCATGGGGCTTGCTGGCTTTGCCTGACTGTTTTCCCTGGTTCGTATATCTTCTTCCGATATCAAGAGGTCTCAATCTTTTTAAAAGTTAAATTATTGAAAGTGTTAAGTCAGTGCCCTTGAATGGAGTTTAATTGGGAAGCTAGGAAACTACAACCCCCCTGAATCCCAACAGGAAGAGATGGAACATGGTTTTCAAGTTGAGTGGGAAGAGCGCAGTTGCACTTCATTCTGGCTTGCAGCCTTCCCGCTTGGGGAATCTGGTTGGTCACAGGGATAACAGGATTCCAGACCAGGTGGACCTTTGGCCTGATCCAGCAGGACTCTTCTTAAGCAGAGGCCTGCAAGGCATCTCCTGGCTCTCCCAGCAAACTAGGCATGGTTACATTCCCCCTTCGCAAAGGTTCACTTGCTTGGAGGGGGAAGTAGTGAGAACTGGTGGGGAGGGTTGGCTGATGGTAGGAGCAGACCTCACTATAACCCAGGCTTGCATTTGAAGGTTCGTAATGGGATGTGGAATTCAGAGCCAGGGCTGTTTGAAGCTCTCCCTTTCCCCCTCTCACCAGTTCCTGCTGGGAGTTGCCATCCCCAGGGCTGTGGCTTCAGAAGATGGCGAGCGCCTGCATGCATATCTCAGTGGCAGAGATGAACTTCACTTTCTATCATCTCCAAATAAAGGATGCTGGGTCTCAGAGAAATGCCTTCCCTGAAACCCTGGGGAATTAGAAGAGGGCTAGGTGAACTATAGGTCTGACTCGGTATAAGGAAGAGATAGGGATACTGATAGAGATATAGATATAGATTATAGATAGCCTTGGAAGGAGAGGAGCAACATAGTATGAAACCATCCTATAGCAGTTGGGACTGAACCTCCAATTCTGCACCTTATTTGCAATTGGTAAAATGGTGTGTGTGTGTGTGTGTGTGTGTGTGTGTGTGTGTGTATCTATATCTATATCTATATATCTATATCTATATCTATATCTATATCTATATATCTGGGTATCTGGGTGATTTTCCAGCATGGGTCCCCAAATGGGTGCAAAATAGGGTGAAGGTGATGGTCCCTACACAGGATGAAGTCCCTGGAAGGGCCTTTTCAGTGGTCTGCATAATGCGTTGCCCGCTGAGGTGCATCTGAGCACATAGCTGCTTCTTTTAGGAAATGGGTGAAGACACACCTCTTCCAACAGGCTTTTGGGTGAATGACTGAAATAATTTTTGAATAATTTGCCACAAATGCATACTATGGTTTGTATCCATATAGCTTTTGTTTTCTTGTATTTTATGTATATTACATTATGCATGTATGTTGTGTTATTTGTCATATTGCTATGTTGCAAAGTTCCCCGTGGCCTTTTGATGAAGCACTATATATACATTTCTTTTTTAAAAAAATAATTTTTTATTCAAAGTTATAACAAAACATATTTTCCAAAAACATATCCTTATTTCCCCCCCATTTTTCCTTCCTCCCACTCCACCCCACAAAACCCATCCCCCCACCCCACCCCCCGACTTCCCTCGGTTCCAGTCTTTGGTTTCTCCAGTAATGCTATTTTCTGCATGTTACAGAGTTGTATAGATCCTCCAACTGTTTAGCTAATTATTATCAGTAAAAAATTGTGGATGTTTATTCAAAACCTGCCAAGGAGTCCAGTTCGCTTTGTTGCGTCTTCAAATACTTTGTGAAAGGTTCCCATTCATCCTTAAAGTCACAGTTATCCTTATACATTTCTTAATTAAATGAATAATCTTGTGGATGGCAGCAGCACTCACATTCTCCCCGCCTCACCAAAAAATAACAAAATAAAAAAATCCCCTTGGAATGACAATATGTCATGATGGAACGGATTTCTAAACGGCCTTTAAAAACCGGGGGGTGGGGGTGGGGTATTACAAGCACCCAAAGGAACATTGCTGTTGCAAAATAGAAGGCAGCAAAACACTGTTAAAAAGTAAGATTGTTCTCCTTTCTTTTTGGCCTCCAAAGGGAACCTTTAGCTCAGCCTTAATTGGAATATCATCCTTAGGGTTTCTTTCTTTTCTTCCTTTTTTCTTTTGGTTCGCCATTGTTAGCAGCACGAAGAGCAAATCTTTTCCTGCATAAGCCGTGACCTTGAGACTTTTACGTTACCATCTTTTGGTGTGTGTGTTCTGAGAATGAAACGTTCAAACCATTTCCAGTGTGGCTGGGATTTCATTTTTGTTGAACCCTTCCTGGGCCATGTCGCTGGCAGCTCGCAACACTGCGACATTGTGGGCTGGAGAGAATGAAACCCACCAGTCTGGCTGCATTGTGGGGAGTTAATGAATCGCAAAAAAACTAACTAACTTGTGTCTGGTTCAGTTGCCCCAAGGGATGGGGGTGGGATAGCAAGGTTGGAATTCTGTGGCATTGTATTTAAGGGCTAATGATGTTCCTAATGCTTGCTGGGAGCCCAAATGGAGGGTTTTGCCCCCCCCCCAACAACAACCTTCCTTTTAAAGCTGGGGCTAACATCTCAAGTTGCTTGCACTCACCAAGCTGTGTAAGAGAAAACCTACAATTGCCAGAATGCTTATGGGATTACAAACCCTTTCCCCTGTTTCTTCATGGCATAGAATTGCTTTCAAAACCACACAAGAAAATTTCAAAGGCCTTACATCTGCGGCTGTCTGCATGGTAGAGTTGTCAGCCTCTGATTCCAGTGTCATGTTGCTGCAACGTCTACAAAATAATGTGCCTTAAGATGCTGCCGTAATCGTCTATGGTGGTCTTTGCATGTGAGGTGGGCAGATTTACTTGGTTCTGGCCTGCAGAGTTCTGGAGTTATTTTGCTCTGCCAGACTGGAATGAATGTCAGAAACAGAGATAGATTCTTCAGTCCCTGGCGGGCACCCTTAGAGAGAACTGCTGTGATTAGACCTCTTAGTACGTACCTTAAGGCTTTGGGCAGAGGAAGGGGGCATAATCTTCATTGCCTCCTCACCTCATCAGAGACCCCAGATGAAGGCTGGGGGAACCTTTTTCAACCCAAGGGCCACATTCAACCATGTAAAAGTAAAATGTTTTACAGGCACACACCCACACATGCGCTCCTCCAGCATTCGTTCAGGCCAACGTGAAGAATAGTCGCAGTTCAAGGGCACTTTCCAGTCATCAAAAACACCTGTAGAAGGTAGAGATCAGTGAACGGTGTGACCTGGGAAGAGGGATATGTAGCCTGAGGAGACGTTTTGGGAAGAGATATTTCCTGGACCCTTCAATCCCAGCTTGTTCACTGAGGTCATCTGCAGGAACATCATTGACTATTCCCTACATGAGGTTTGTTTGGTAACATGGAGAAATCCTAAGCTGAACACTTTCCCTTTCTGCCAGGCCTAGGCGGGCAATTGAGAATACATCCTTCTACAGTGGTTTACTGGTGTTCATTTTCAACATTGTTTTGTTTTGCTTTTAACTTCCTGATGCTTCTACTGCATGGTTTTATTGCTATAAACCACTTTGATATATTTTCATGATGTAGCGTTACACAAAAGTTAAATAAGTACGTAAATAAGTAAGTATGTAAGAGTCCTAAGGGACAGAAAGAGACACCCTGAAGGCCACATCCAGCTCCCAAGGCATGAAGCTCCCCAGCCCATATGAGCAGGTGAACCCAGGGCTCTGGGTTGGCTCTGAGCCACATTAGACCTCTGCCTTGAGATCTGTGGCTTATCAAAGGAGTGGCAAAATATCCCACATGCCACCTTTTTACTGCATGGGAGCCTCTTCCCAGGATTGGTCCACAGCCTTCCATAATTCAGTGGGATTTAGTTCTGTTCAGAAAAGGCTTTCAGTCCAGCCAACTCCTAAGGTTTTGCCCCCTGAGGACAGCCAGGGTGGCATTTGGCAGTGTGGATAATTCACATTGGAAACTGCAAATCAGATATAACTACAGCATCTTTGCATCAGTGAGATGTCTCTGGTTCCAAGGAATCCGCCATTCCTCTACATATGGCTCTGAACACTTAATTTTAAAAAACCCTGGTTTTTAAATAACCTTATTGCAGACTTAATCCTCCAGGTCCAACAGTGCAATATAAGTAGAATTCATGTTCTTAAGAATTTATAATTCATACATTATGATTCTCTCCCCACCCTCTCTCGCCCCTCCACCCCGAGCACATTAGCCTAGTTAATTTTTTTCTTTTCAGAAAATAAGCAACGTTTTCTGGGGGTGGTTACCCAAAAATCAGTTCTTTTCAGAGTCAATTGAAATTGCTGGAATGCCTTCTTAGAAAATTGGAATTAACAGCTATTTATGATTAGGCCTATATTATAATTCTCCCAGAGCCTGTTTAATCAAAAGGCAGATTAGTTATCTGCACTGTGGTGCATCTGTGCATTTTGATAGCTTTCCTACAATGGTGGGGTGAATGGGTCCCGGAGTAACGCAGGCAGATTTTCCTGTATTTGACGGAGAGGGTGTTCCTTTCATACTTCACATTAGCCAAAATGGCCACTGCAAACGGTCACTGCACTTGCTTGAATGTATACTTAAGAGTTTTGCATAGAAATGTCGCAAACTAAGCTTCGTGCCTTTTGGTCGCGCTGCTTATAATATATATTCTCTCTGCATATAAATGTGTATGTATATATAAATAAGGTATCTGCCAACCGAGCATAACACTTCATGTGTCTGAAATAGTCTCAAATCCACAAAGACTTATGCCATCTGTTAGTCTAGTGCCACAAGGCTCTTTGTGTGTGCGCCTTGCGAAGAATAGTTCATGCTGCCCTCCTTGGTTAGACCCCAACTGAAGTCCTGTGTTCAGTTCTCGGCACCACAGTTTAAGAAGGCTATTGACAAGCTGGAAGGTGTGCAGAACCTTTATCTAAAATTTGGACAGAACCTTATATAAAATGTTCACTCTTTAGCTATTTACTGTACACTTTTGCTTACTCTTGGGATGTTGTCTGAAGCCTGTGCAGGTAAAGGGATGCTTGACGAAATCCATTTTGTGGGGATAAGCCAATGCTAACAGACCTGATCCACCCCCCCCCCAATCTGTTGGGCGGATCAGAACACAGCCCCTCCTTTGGATTTCACATGCCTTTGAAGTTCTTCGGTCAAATGATATTACCAAAATGCACTTTGAATGTGATAAAACATGTCAAAGAAAAAATAATTAAATGTGTGTTTTTCTTACCTATTCATTCCTCCAACCCTCCCCAAGAAGAAATAGCAGATTAAATTGGATACAGGACAGAACAAAGTTTATAAAAGTCACATAGGTATGATGCATCCATAACTATGTGTGGGTCAAGAGAACCATGTTGCATTAGCAAAGGGTTTGTAGGCCAGCAATGCTCAAGTTCAAGCAGATTCGGAATGTGTGGCCAGGGCATGTGCCATCATCCTTCTCACTTCTTCTTTTTTCCCAATCTCCTTGGCAGCTCCTCCCACCTTCACAGAAACTCCCCCCCAATACGTAGAGGCGAAGGAAGGCGGCAGCATTACACTCACCTGCATGGCTTTCGGAAACCCTAAGCCAACCGTCACCTGGCTGAAAGAGGGGGACCTCTTAGGTGCCAACAATAAATATCAGGTAAGGTCATGCTCAGAAGGGCCCCACGGCTCAAGGATGGAGGAAATCCTCTGCATGCATAATGTAAAGGTAAAGGGACCCCTGACCATTCGGTCCAGTCGTGGCCGATTCTGGGGTTGTGGCACTCATCTTGCTTTACTGGCTGAGGGAGCCGGAGTACAGCTTCCGGGCCATGTGGCCAGAATGACTAAGCCGCTTCTGGCGAACCAGAGCAGTGCACGGAAATGCCGTTTACCTTCCCGCCAGAGTGGTACCTATTTATCTACTTGCACTTTGACATGTTTTTGAACTGCTGGGTTGGCAGGAGCAGGGACCGAGCAATGGGAGCTCACCCCGTTGCAGGGATTCGAACCGCTGACCTTCTGATTGGCAAGTCCTAGGCTCTGTGGTTTAACCCACAGCGCCATGCCTAATGTAGGGAGGTACAATTTCTGGCATCACCACATTCAATGGAATGTGGGTGGGATGGCTAGGAAAGAACCCAGGATGAGGCTTGGAGAGCTGCTGGTGATCTGAGCATGCCATACTGGGCTAATGTAAGAACATGAGAGGGGTCATGTCTTGTCCAGCATCTTGTTTTCTCTTTTTGGATGGTTCTTGTTTCGCTTCCAAAGCAGTAGGCACAGAACCACTGAAGTCTGGTGTATTAGGGGAAATTGCAAGAGAGGTTCCCTGTCAGCTTCACCAGTAAGGCAAATAAATTTGTCCGCCATATTGCCTACCTACCTATACATGGCAGGCGCTTGATAACTCTCCTGATCTTGTGATTCCAAGCAAACAGTACATTTAACCCCTGGATGGCCACAGGGAACCGCTATTGGATTTGCAAGTATTTACCAGCTGACATTCATGGACTTATTGTCCTGAGAACCTTCTGAAATGCAATACTCAAATTGGGAAGGATTCACACATCAATTAGCAGTGCCTGTGGCACTGAACACCCTTTTACTGATTTCGATTTTTTAAAATAAAAAAACCTATGCATTTCTAAATATGTCATGTTTGCTGTCTTGAGCTGTGACATTAGCCCCACGGGGTGCAAAGCTCTGTCATGCCCTCATCAAAATCTCATGGAGGGGACCACCCTGTTTCATCATTTCTCATAAATGCTCTCTTCTCTCCCCCCCCCCCCGGAAAAGCCTCTGTCCTTTCCTCAGCCAGGAATTCCATCTGTATGAATTGTAATTGGCAAATCAGGCATTGGAATTGGTACCGGCACCAATGAGAATAATTAGGAGTCATTTGTTAATGAGCTGAAATGGAAGGGTGAAGTGAAATGAAGCTTCGCGTTGGCAGCGGGGTGGAAGAGGATGGATCAAAGGTGGAGGAAATAATGCATGCATTGTCTGTGTGCTCACTTCACACTTGTGCTAAACAAAGCAACGTGGGAATAAAAGTATGGTAGCTTAAGTGACCCTGCGATGGGCTAGGCTGCTCATAGTGTGTTATGGCAGGATGAGGTGGGATTATCATATCCCCATTCAGAAAGGGGCTCATTTGCCCCCTAATATTCATTCCACACGTGTAAGAAATCGATCTTTGTGTCTGGCAGCAACCACACTTTGGAACTCCCTGCCTATTGACATCAGCAGGTGCCTCCGCTGAACTCATTTTGGTGCCCACATAAAACATTTTTTGTTTGTTTCAGCAAGCCTGTCCAGACCTGCGGAACTTACATGTGTGGGTTTCTTTATTTCATTCTATAACATGTATAAAACAGGAGGAATAATTATAATGATGGATGAAGATTAAAATACGAAAAGCTAAGCTGTAAGATAGGCACATAGAATGAATGCTGTTGCACATGGGTTGAAATTAGAAGTTATGTGTGTTTTATGTCTTTTTAGCTGCTGTTAGTTTTATCTTCATGTTTTTAGCTGTGTTTTTATTGATAAGTTTAATGTTTCATGTTTTTGTCAACTGCTTGGAGGTTTCCTTACAATCAAGCAGTGTATAAATTTTGTTAAATAAACAAATGAATAACGAAAATGATGCAGGAGGGTGCAACCTCACACTCCGGGGGCCAAATGCAGGCCTCCAGCCTTTTCTGTCTGGCCCTTGGGACTTTCTCTAAACTCCACCTCCTCTCCCCATGCTCCACCCCTCCCTGGTCCTGCTTCATCCATGCACTCCTTGATTGATTTTGCATGCCTGGAATGTGTTCTTCAAATGCGATCATTCCTATTGCTTGCCTGGATGGAGGGGTGTGTGTGTGTGCTTCTGTGTAGAAACCTCTGGTCCTCACTTGGCAGGAATGTAGCCAACAATACAAAGGTAAGAGTTATTTCCATTTGTGTCTCCCACTTTTTCCTCTATTGGTTAGAGTGCTGGACTAGGACCTGGGAGACCAGAGTTCAAATCCTCACTCAGTCATAAAGCTCATTGAGTGTTTTGGGACAAGTCACCGCATCTTAGCTTCACCTACCTCTCAGGGTTGTTGTGATTGTAAAATGTGGGGGGCACGTATGCCACCTTGGAGGAAAGATGGGGTGATTATGAACAAGAACATAGAAGTACAGTGTTGATTTAGCTATTCAGTACATGATGTCCGTCGCAAGTCTCACTGTAGTCATCCATGGGTTGATGGAGGAGCCACTGAACAATTTTCCATTTTCATGCAGGATACAAAATTGAACTAGATTGTGGCAAAGTCATTAATATGTGAGTCATGCTTTCTGGCATGGGGTACTGGGGTGTGTGTGTGACCAGCTAGAAATGGTCTAGATGCATATTTTTTAGAAATGCAAATAGCAGCCATTGTGGGAGCGATGGTGATGATCAGGGAGGTGGTGTTTTAACACTTTCCTCCCCTGCCTGTCAAAAAATGCTCCTCTGAAGCTGCTATTTGCATTGGGAAGGAATGAAAGCATGCAGTTAGGTTTAGCTGGGGTGTGTGCGTGTGTTCATGCACATGTTTGTAGCTGCAATGGTTTTGGGTGACGAACTTTCATTCTCTTTTTTTCTCCCTCTTCAGGTTAGTGATGGGAGTCTGACTGTTGTTTCCGTTAGTCGGGATGACCGGGGCGCTTACACCTGCCGGGCTTATAGCATCCAGGGAGAGGCTGTGCACACTACCCGCTTGCTTGTCCAAGGTAACTAGCTGGAGAGTCCTTATGGGCTCCCTAGAACAGGAGTGTGGAACCTGGTGCTCTAGAGACATTGCTGGATTCCTAACTTCCATCAGTCCCAGCCAGCATGGCCACTAGGCAGGGATGATGGGAGCTGCAGTCCAGCAGCAGCTGGGGGTATCCATTTGGTGCTACAACTGATGCTTGCTTCAGCAGCATATTTTACTTAATTATATTTGTTTTAGGTCTTATATTTCGCTTTTGTCCTGTATGACCCTGTGCAATAGCTTCATTGTTTATTCTTTTTAGGAAGCCACTGAAACCTGAGTTGTTTAGGAGTTGTTGCCTAGTGTATGATTGAAGTCGTTAGAGAAATGCCTTAGTGGCTAACGGATGGAGACTGTTCTTCTGGGTTTGGTAAACTTCGTGAGATGGCTTTTCTGTTTCACGGCATGAACAGCTGCTTCCTCCTCTGCCCTGCGATTCTCTTTAAGCATGAACGTACATCAGGTGTGGATGGCATGGTCATGCCGCTCCCCTGAACCCTTTACAGCCGGGTCATTGCTGGTTACTGGGAGAGGAGAGGTGGCAGAGAGGTCAGCGTGATGTTTGCACAGTGCCAACCTTCCTGGTACTCATCAGTGACTCGGCTGTTGGCAGTTCAGGTGAGTGCTGCTGCCCTACCATGCCCTCTGCATGGTGGGTTGCATATAACATGAGAAATAAGGGAGAAGCAGAGTTGCACAAACACCAAGGTGTGCAATAGCCTGCAACAGGAGTGCAATGTTTCTGTTTTAACCAGTGTTTTCCCCCCCTTAAAATGTTTAGGGGTACTCTCATTTTGACTCAAGAAAATCACCATTTTATAGTTCAAATCGGGAAACATAAATACAGTAAATGGACAAAAGTAAAAAGATTTGCAAAATGTTTAGGGGTATGCGTACCCCCAGAAAAAAGCACTGGTTTTAACTATTTATGTTTTTCTCTTGTGAACTGCCCTGAGATCTTTTGATAAAGGGAGGCATATAAATCTAATTTTAAAAAATGCAAAAAAGGGATTCATAGAAATATATATATATACTATCCTCCTCCCCCCAAAACTCATTTTGTAATTCTTCCAAGCATCTGTCTATCAAAACGCAGTGGTTGGTTGTCCCTTCACATGCTAGCGTGATGGCTGGATGGTATTGAGGGTTAATGAAGAGGCTGAGTTAAGGAGAGAGAGGAGGCTGAGACCACCCCCCTAAATTGTATCTCCATGTCTATTTTTTAAAAAAATCATGATTTTTTAAAAAATCATGTATGTAGGTGGTTTTTATTTACTCCTGTGTAGGGAAGTAAAATGCTGGTTTGGGGACAGTGTTGGAATTGGGCTGTGTGTGGAATCTGCCTTTCAGCCCTGATTCTTTGTGGTCCTGTATTTCTCAGACAGGAAATTGCATGTGCATATTTGTACAATGTGCCATTTTATGTAGAGAGAGGCTTTGCTGCTTCCCCCAAAGTCTTGGCCACAAACGCTTTTGCAGTTTTGATTCTGAGTTAGCATCGTCCACCCCTTCTTCCTATGTGCTCTCTGGCACAGGTGGGGGAACCTGCAGCCTTCCAAGCATTGCTGGACTAAAACTCCCATCATCCCTGACCATCAGCCATGCTGGCTGGGGATGATGGAAGATGGAGTCCAACCGGCCTCCCCACTTGTGCTTCCTAGACTTTTCTTAGTGCCTCCTGCTAAAAGAAGAGTTAACGGCTGCGTCTGTTGAAGGTGACCCTGACCAAGTGGCCACATAACCTTCAGCCAGTGAGATGAGCCTCTTTCCCAACCCTCCATTAAAAAAAAGACCCCCTCCACAATGCCATCAATAAATAAACAAGAGCATTAAGTCCAGACCTCAGACATCTAAAAAGCGCTGAAGGCTGCTAGCTCAGCTGAACAACCCAAGGAATGCAAAAGAGGAGCAGTGGGTCGTGTGTGTGTGTGTGTGTGTGTGTGTGTGTGTGTGTGTGTGTAAAAGAGCAGAGGCCTGATGCCTCCTTGTCCTGCATGGGAGACAAAAGGTTTCGCAGAAGGCAGGTGGAGCCCAAACTGGCAGCCTTGGCCTTGCCTTGAGGGGAGAGGGGGAGCGTTTTGTATTGATTTCCTGTGTCTGCATCAATAGTATTAACTTCCCTTCCCGCTCCCTTCCTCCTGCTTGCTTAACAGCTGTTCTGCGAGCTGGATTTGTCTGTGCATTGATTTTTATTGTTGCAGTTGGGTCCCTCCTGTTCTTTAAGAGCTGGGGCAGCTCGTGGTTCGAGTTTGCAGCATCACCATTTTAAAAGCAGGGAGGGAACAGAAAGAGCAAAAGAAATAAAGAAGGGAGAAATAATTCTGCAGACAGATCCAGAAGAGCACGGGCTGCTTCTCTTCCCCTGGTTTCTTTTGGCAGCAATACAGAGAACAGCTAGTGGGTTCTGATGGGAGTCCCCTTAGGGGAAGAGAGATGACATTTTGTGTTCCCCCAGCTGTCAGTCCTCCAGGTCAATATGTGAGGCCACCTGCAACCCTTGTCCTGCCCTTGCTGATGGCATATTTTCTTGGAAGGGCTCAGGCTATTCTGGGTTCACTGGCCAGTGGATGAGGCCACGGTGTCCTGTGACTCACGCTGTCTGTTCTTGACTGGCAGCGGATCTGCATCAGTGGCCATTCCAAGCCACAGGCCATTTAAATGTTCTGATTTCAAAGAACACGCTCAGCCACTGAGGTGCAGCCCCTTTCGAAGACTCATTGCCCCATTTGGAGGGTAACATTTTGGAGCAGTGATAAGTTGCATTGTGGGTATGCTTTGGAGTGCACAAAGATCTGCATCATACTGCAACAAAATGTTGCAGCGTGTCCTCACCTCCCAGGAACACAGGAAGCTTCCTTGTATGTAGTTAGATGCTTGGCTCATCTTGCTCAACAGTCTCTCTACTTACTCGCAGTTGCTCTTCAGTGTTTCAGACAGGAGGCATTCTCAGCCCTAGCTGGAGATGCTGGGGACTGAACCTGGGACTTTATGCATGCAAAGGAGATGCTCTACCACTGAGCTTTGGCCTTTGTCCTGCAGCTCTTCAGGAGTGCTCTTGATCAGGGTTCCTCCCCAACAGCTTTGGCTTGACTACTGGATGATGATGATAATAATAATAATAATAATAATAATAATAATAATTTATTTATACCCCACCCATCTGGCTGAGTTTCCCCAGCCACTCTTGGCACCTTCCAATCAAGTGTTAAAAACAGTACAGCATTAAATATTAAAAACTTCCCTAAACAGGGCTGCCTTCAGATGTCTTTTAAAAAGAAGATAGCTGCTTATTCTCTTCATATCTGAAGGGAGGGTGTTCCACAGGGCGGGCGTCACTACCGAGAAGGCCCTCTGTCTGGTTCCCTGTAACCTCACTTCTCGCAATGAGGGAACCGCCAGAAGGCTCTCGGTGCTGGATCTCAGTGTCCGGGCTGAACGATGGGGGTGGAGACGCTCCTTCAGGTATACAGGACCGAGGCCGTTTAGGGCTTTAAAGGTCAGCACCAACACTTTGAATTGTGCTTGGAAACGTACTGGGAGCCAATGCAGATCTCTCAGGACCGGTGCTATGTGGTCCCGGCGGCCACTCCCAGTCACCAGTCTGGCTTAAGGAGCTCAAACTGGGCTGGGTGGTGGAGAGTGATCCAACTAACACACAACATTCAGTAGTTACTGAGTACGCCCACTCCACTTGTTTTTTGAGATGGGTACATTGCCCCCCCTTAGATTTTTTTTTAAAGATTCTCTTGAACTTCTGCAAGCCTTGGGATTCTTCAAAATATGTTAGGTAGGTTACCCCTGCCCTTAAGTATATTATTTGTATTTGTGCCATCTTTGCGGTACGTGTGTGACACCCCCCTCACCCCGGCTATGTGACAGTCACTCCAAGGCTCCCTTGCAAAGTTATTAATGCAGGGCAGACAGCTGCCACCACCCTCTTTTCTTGGAAGCAAAAGGTTTCTGTCTTTTAAAGAAGAGGAAATGATCTATGTCCTGCAAAACTGTCCTCTTCTGCGCACTTGTTAAATCTGCAGGAGCCCTGACCTCCTTCTCAGCTGGCCACCCTAGCTTTTAAAAAAAGAACTCCCAGGCCTTTTCAGACACCGCAAATGTGTAAGTGGCATTCGTCTGTCATGATGGCAGCTAATGGCCCTGCATTCCATTAGTATTAAAGAAAAATCCATTTAATTGGAACACAATTGTGCATGGGCCTGCCATCCTGATTGAACAGCCATCCTGGTTTATAGGCAGACTGTTTTAATTCACACCCTCCCTCCAAAGTCTGGAGAGTCTTAAAATGAAAAATGGGGGGGGGGAGATCTATTTGGAGAGAAAATAGCCGTTTTTTTGTTTTTAATGGTGCATGTACAACTTTCCTTCATAAACAAAGCAAAAACCTCTTTTAATCTAGCCAACATTTGCTCCTGGAGAGGAGAGTGTAAAATTTGCAAGAGGAGAAATGTTGTTCTATGCAAATAATGCTGATTTAAAGCAGTGTTTGCAACCTCACGGGCCAAGCCTTTGTCAACCTGGTTCTCTGTTTTGGATTACAACTCCCATCATTCCTGACCACTGGCCAGCACTCTCCCAGGATTCTGACTGCTTAAAGTGGTATCACAGTGCTTTAAATGTATGGTGTAATGGAGTCACACCCAGGCCATGATTTGTATGTACTTGCATATACACACAAAGCTGTCTTATTTGAATCCCCACAGAATTCGATTTCCTAGATGCCAGTGACAGATAACCTCTTTTAAACATGCCCCTTATTACATATAGAAGAGGAAAATGCCTGACTTAGGGGCCAACTTCCACGCAAACCCCAGAGCCCTTTGCAACTGCTCCCTTCATCTGTCTCGAGGACAGGAAACATGATAGCCATGAGGACTAGCCTCTTTACTTTTCTGTAGGATCTGGGTGTTTCAAGCACCCATGATGGTTCTGCAGCAGCCTTGCTGAGAAATGCTGTATATTCAGAATCTATGCCATGTGGTGACTGACACATAGATACATAAACATTCATTTCCCATCTAGCTCTGAGGGGAAAACGTGGCCATTGTTAACACCCCCATAATAATTCTTTTCAATTTAAAAATGGCCCTTTGCCAAATGTTGAGACTGGGCTATAGATAATCATAGTAATAAGCATTTTTCTAGCACTTCAGAAAATTGCAAGCAACTCATAACATCTTGATAATCGTGACTACAAACCTCTGTAGCAAGCCAACATTATCCTAGCATTCTAGATTTGGAGTTGGGAATTAGGGAGATGGCTGCAATATTGAGCCAGGCTAATGGTCCAGCTAGCTCATTATTGTGCACAACAGGTGCCTTCACTTTTCTCAGTCCCACTTTTAACCCAAACATGCATTTGGGGACCAATTTCTTAACATTTCACCCTACATTTGCATGGTGGCAATGCTCTTCTTGTTACTCATCTTGGATCAGGCTGTGACCCACTAATGGGTCCCAGCCCTCCAGTTCAAGACCAGTAGTCTACATTGGAATTTGCAAACATTGGCTGTGGGTGGGAAAAGTCTCTCTCATAGCCAATGTCTGCAAATAACGGCAACTGAGGCTGCTTGCTTTGGCTGAAGAGCAATGGGTCAAATTCTGTTTTGGCTGCGAGCAGCTGTTCCCTGCTGGGGACTTGCATGTGCTACCAAAACAGAACTGAACCCCCGCTCCCTTTCATCACCTGAGTGATATCAGCTGATTGACGACCCTGCGTGATTTGGGGAAAACAGCCTTGTGGGCCAAATTGGATCCCCTGGTTGGCCAACATTGGCCCGTGGCCTGGAATCTCCACACAGTGACAGGCAGTGGCTCTGCAGAGTATCAGACAGAGCTCTCCCAGTCCTTACCTGGAGATGGTTGAGATTGAATCTGGGGCCTCCTGCATGCCAGGCAAGGCTCTGCCACTGAGCTACGGCCCAGTACCCATTGAGGTGGGATTGAGGAGTTGAGGCTGAGAAAGAGTAGTTTGCCTTAAGCACCTTTTGAGAGTGAGAAGTTCGGATTGATCAGTTCCTGTGCTGGACCAGATGGGTCCTTTGGCCTGATCCAATGGGGTGCTTCCTATGTTCTTACAGCAAAGTTGTCTCAGGGCCAGATGCACCAACTCAAAGGTACACAGTTCTTACTCTACGAGGGAGGAATTCAGAGTGGAGCTGTGCTGGATTATGTGACCTGGGCAAAATGCCAAGAGTTTGTGTTCGTTAGGCACGGTGGCTCTTCTTGCTCTCATTCCCTGCACCGTTAAGTCAGCCGCTCTTAGCAATGAGCTCATCTTCCCTTTCTTGGCTGCTGAGGTAACTGTTTGTCTCCTGCTCTCCCACAGGACCCCCTTTCATCGTTTCCCCTCCAGAGAACATCACGGTTAACATCTCCCAGGATGCAATGTTCACCTGCCAGGCTGAGGCATATCCAGGCAACCTGACCTACACTTGGCACTGGGAAGACGAGAACGTCTACTTTAAGAAGTGAGTTTGGAGTCTGTTTTCGGGTCTCTCTCTCTTTCTTGTCTGGTCTTGCTGAAGGATGCAGTCTTGCTGAAGGATGCGGTTGGGAACGGGGCATGTAGGGTGAGCAAGCAGCCTCAGCTCTCTTTTCAAAGGACTGCACACTCCAGCAGGAGGCCCTTGGAATCATCCACTAACAGTTATTCATTTTTAATTAAGTGCATTTGACACATACGTTTGATGGCAAGGTTTGATGGAAAGGATCAACCCCCTTCCCCAATGCTGTGATCCTGATTGAATTTGCCTCCCTGTCCAAACTAGCTGTTCAATTGTTGTAAAAGCCATGGGAGTTCCCAAGTATGACTCTGGTTTTGTGCTTAAGTCCTCTGTGCTGTGCTGCAAACCTGTCAATATCTGGAGTCTGTGTAGTCAGGAGAGGTCTGCCTCTTGCCCATCATGCAGTTCACATTCAGTGGTGTTAAATCATTCATAATTGAGCCTAGGAAGCTGCCATTTACTGAGTCAGAGCCTTGGCCCATCTAGCTCAGGACTCAGCACACTGGCTGGCAGCGGCTCTCCAGGTTTTCAGACATGGTTATCTTCCCAGCCTTACCTGGTGATGCCCGGGGATTGAACCTGGGACCTTCTGCATGCAAGGCACATGCTCTAATACTGAGCTATGTTCCTTCTGCTACACACTGGATATCCCCCTTCTCCCTGAGCCTGCTGTTGCTCACTTGTCCTCTCTTTTGCTCCTTTTCCATTGCAGCGACCTAAAGCTGAGGGTTCGGATCCTGATTGATGGGACGCTGATCATCTTCCGAGTCAAGCCTGAAGACGCTGGGAAATACACCTGCATTCCAAGCAACAGCCTGGGGCGCTCGCCATCAGCCTCTGCCTACCTGACTGTGCAGTGTGAGTGCGTTTGTCTGGGGTGAATGGAGGCTGCCTGGGTGATGAGCTCCCAGACACAGGAGGACAGTCAATGACATGCTTACTGGCATGAGAAATGTCGGCAGCGGCATCCCTGTGCAGCCTCCCTGTAACTTTTTACAGGCACTGAGATGACTGTGTTGGCACAACGTCAGCCCAGAGAGTGGAGAATAAATTGTGCCTAAATTACTGGGACTGACGAGGCACAAGCTGATCAGTGCGGTTGCTGGGTTAATTGCTTTGTTTAATGCAATGCTACCTAGCCCTGCCATATTGTACCAAGCAGCAGATGCTTCAGAGTTAGAGTATCATATGAGTATTAGATGTCCCCGGGGAGGGTTAAGCTGCCACTCCTTGCCTAGGCAGGATGCACACCCATCAGCTTTTATTTAATTCTTTGTTTTTAAACCAGTGCATGCAATCTGCTAGGCGCTTGGCCAGCATTGCTTCCTGCAGCCCCCCACCCCCCAAACAGGACATAGTTTAACCCCTCACACACTCTCTCTCTCTCTCTCTCTCTCACACACACACACATGTAAAATGTTGTCCTGCTCTGCAGGTTATGGCAGCCATGCCAACTGCAGTGTGAGGAGCAGCAGGCTGGCCCAGGCAGACTGGCCGTGCATCAGGGTTTAATGGGGCGGTGGGAGTGCCCTTCAGGCTGTGATTCAGGGAGCACCTGTCCCCTCTCTGTTAAACTCACCTGCAGGGGAAAGAGGGGAGATGTGCTTCACAGTGCAGTTTAGCAAGCTGCTCTGTGAAGTGCCTCCCCCTCTGCTTCAAAAGGGGCTGGATGTCGGGGCGAGGGGAGAGGCAAATGATTGGTGAGGTGTAAAGGGAGGGGGCTTTGGTCAGATGTAGGGGAAGGGCAGTTGCCAAAGGGGTAGGTAGGATTGGCGGAGCCCCTAGTGTGTGCTTGTGTAAGTGTATACATTTGTTTCCAGGGGGGTTTTCAAAAGCTGAACTGTAGGTGAGATACCGCACTGATCCTTGCAAACTCAAGTGCATCAGAATGGTTTTATATCTCTGTTACATTTGTTTTGTCTCAAGGTGGCTGGTGAGAGCTGTGCTGCGGCTCCCAGACCCAGCCGTGTGAGTTGGATGTTAACCACAAGGCTGAGCTGGAAGGGACACAGTAGTTGTGCAGATGCCCTGGCACACTTGGCATGCCACTGCCTCTGAGAAGGAAGTTGGGGATCAATAGACCAGCAAGCAGCTTGGGAAAGGGCAGGCTTTTGCCTCCAAGGTGAAAGCCCAAGGCATATAGTAACAACCAGCAGTATTCAGCAGGCACTGCCTGCAGTTCCTTGAAGCGACCCAGATGTTGGCTCATGGGTCATTGCTGTGCACTTTGACCACATATGACCACTTGCCCAAGCTAGTGCCCTCCCAGATACTTTGGACTACAACACCCATCATCATTTTTACAATTAAGTGGTATATAACTGTTGTTAAATAAAATAAAATAATGTTGCATTTGCAGTTAAGTTAGTGCTAGCCACAGTTTCCTTGAAACCAGGGTGTAACACTGGTTACTTCTAACCATGGTCTGTGTTAACCTTGGTGCAACACTACACCATTGCTTAAAAAGTAAACCACAGACAGGAGAGGGATTAATGCCAGAAAAGTGAGGAGGAGAAAATGACCGCGCCTGCAGCATGTTACACATCTCCTAACTATGGTTACATCTTTGCCCAGAATTAAAGCCTCTTCCTGGTTCTGGGTTCACTGTTTGGACTTTGGCGCTTCATACGCATCTGCAACATGCTATGAACCTGGGAGGAAAGAAGCATCACTTTTAGGTTCCGGTTTTCCGGGTCACTTTTGCTCCAGTTCTTGTCTGGGAGGGAAAGCTGTCTCGTTCAGTGTTCCCCAAGTAGCTGTCAGATGGCAACGGCTTTTGGCCAGTCATTAATCAACCAACTTGGATGCTGTCCAGTGACCTAGAAGTGAAAAAGCTCAGTGTCCCGTTACCAATCCCTTGAGCCTATGTTGATTACATTTCCTAAGACATGGCACTAAACTGTGTGTATACAAATCAAGTTCCTCATTACGCCCTGGATATGAATCTGGGTTACGATGCCACAGACGGCATCAGATGACCTTGATAAACGTTTCAGTCCTTGGTGGTTGTCAGCTGTTTGCAAAGTGTGATGGGCTGGGGGAGTGGTGTGTTTGGGTGTGTGCTGTGCAGTGCAGTGCGATCAGACAAAACCTCTGATTGAAAAATCCCTCTCCTTCTGGAGGATCTTACTCCCGTTCACAATTCATGTGCTGAGTGCCGCTGGAACACTGCTGCATGGGAATATGCAAGGCTCTTTTATGGATTTTAATCATTTGGTTTTTAATCTTTAATACCTCTGTTGTGTGGGTTTTTTCTTTTTTTAATTTTGTCCCTGGCAGGCTATCAAATTTGGAAAGCGAAAAGAAACGAACACAAAACCCTCTAAAGCCAGAATAATAAGGATTAATGCCCTCCCTCCTCCTTTTTACTTGTTCCCATCAATCACAGAAGCAGGGGAATCCAAAATCCCTGACAATGGTGGCGTCATTCAATCACTCTTGGTTTGACGCTAGGAATTACCCGCCGCCTTTTTTTGCTCCCCACCCCCATCACCCAAGGGAAGGGGAGGAGAAAAACAAAAGCGAATGACTCTGGAATTCCCAAATAGTCAGTGGACCAGAAAGCAGAGGATGCAAAAGGAGGTTATAGTCTCTGTTCTGTAATACTGCTAATTGGACAAGGCTAAGTAGCACAAGGGAGCAGACACAGGAAGATGTGGAGGATGAGATTTGGAGGACTATGGTGCAGGATCCAGGCAAGATGTTGCAATCAACCAGTTTTTGAACCAAGAACCTCATGGCAGTGTCCTGGAGCCCCTTGAGAGGAACCCAGTCACTGTTGTAGAAGGAAGAACATTGTTGCCCTCCTGGACTCTGGTGTGGCTCCGCTCTATGTCAACTTATTGGTTCCTTCTGGCCTGGTCTGGCTATAAATACCTCCAGGTGAGGCCTGAGTTGTTGCCTAGGCAACAGACAGGCCTTGGCCTTGCCTGTGTGCTCCTCCAGCCTTACTCTAAGTATTCCCTTCAGTCAGTTTTTGTCTTTCCCTGTCTGGTCTGGTCTCTGCAAACTTGCTTTCCTGTCCATTCTGCCTTACCCCCTTGTTCCAGCTCTGTTCTAGACAGATTTCTTGATTCAGGTCCTGACTTAGAACTGACTGTGCTATGCATTTGTCTCTGCCCCCCATCTCTGTCCCCCAGTGATTTTGAGGAGTACAAACAAGGGCAGAGGGAAAACACTGCTCTGGGATTTTTTCTTTCTTTTCAGAGCAGGAGTTATGGTGTCATGTGCTGGACCACATGGGTAGTTGACAGGCCCGCCTTGCTCAGGCAAGTTAATGGGGTGGTATCGAGGGTTTCAAGTTTTGCTATGGTCTGTGACAGATTAGCATCAGAGGAATGAAGGAAAATAGTGAAGCAGAGGCTGGGCACTTCTTTCTTTTTCTTTGATGGGGTTCCTGCTTCATGACACCTCCTTGCAAGATTGTTTCCATCTCTGATTAGAAGAACTGTTGCATTTCAGATCTGTTGTTAAAGCTCGGTATGTTTTACAACTTGAACTTATGAAGTCAGAACTAAGTATCACTGAGTCAAATGGATCTTGCTTCCAGGATTACAGTCATGCTGCATAGTTGACCAATGCTGTGGACCCAGGTCTCCCCAGCCAAATTCCAACACTCTAACAACCACTTCACCACCCTTTGCCAACTCACTAGCCTAAGGATGTCAACTGATCCTAACAAAATGGGTATTGTGCTATATACACCTGCTATTTAAGGTGTACATGTGCATGGATTGTCAGTGGTGTCTGCATTTTTGAACTCTTGTTGGCTACGAAAGCTGCCATGATAAGCTCCTGCACTTAAAAATTGAATCCTATGCCACTGGTCCCAAATCATTCTGCAACTCATGTTTCAGCTCTGACATTCTCTCCAATAAACCCACACCCCTGTATCCACCACCAAGAGAGAGAGACAGAGAGAAATGAGAGAGAGAAGGGAAATAAAGGGTGTACTTGTAGGCACACTATGATGCAAAATTAGCCAATTGTTGTCAATGATGCTATGACCCTGATTCAGATCTTGCTGTGAAGAAGCATCCTGTTTGGCAATGGCTAAGCCTTTTGGTTAATCCCAAGGTTCAAGGACCCACTGTCATGTGGTGAGCTAGATCATGCTCATTTGGCCTCAACTCTTAGGAAAAGGCCATAGCACAACAGTAGATCAGATGCTTTGCATGCAAATGGTCCCAGTTTCAATCCGCACATCTTCCCACAAAACTGGGGAAGACCAGAGAGTCTTTGCCAGTCAGTGCAGACAGTATACCAGCAGCCTCCCTCACAGTAAGCTTTTGATGTTTGTCAGGTATTTTCCCCGTCCTTGTTGTCTTTTATGTTCCCCCCACATGTGTTCCAAAATAGCCTCCTTTCCTTAGCGATGCAACTAAAGGTTTTAATACTGTCTCCCGTTCCCTTCCAATTATACTCCTCCAGCCGATCAGAGTATCCCTGCCAGAGCAGAGAACTCCCAGCAAATTACTTTAGGTTGCCTTCCTTCCATTTATTTTTTAAAAAAGTAATATCTAGTATTTAATATTTTAAAAAACCCTTCTCTGTTGGTTCACTGCATGTTCTGTCTATTACAGGCAACTTCTTTATCCAAAGCAGCAGTGAAACCTCTTGGGTTAACAACAACAGCTAGAACTAAAAAGGAAATGTGTTTTTTTTTAAATAATGAAACTGAAAATTGATTCCTCTCTTATTATTGTGCTCAATTGAGAGTTCTCTGAATGTGGTAGTTTTCATATAGATAAATATATGTTTTTCCTCCCCCCACCCCCACTGGTTGCTGAGATTCCACCCAGTATTATAATACCCAGAGTTCCCTGTGGAGAGAGAATGACTGTTTTTAAGCAGTTTAAGGCTGTGGTATAGATATGGTCTCTTTTTAATAACTGGGGGGAAAGGGATGAAACATGGAGCAATACCCAATGTCGTGTGAGGGGAAGCTTCCTTGCACAACGAGACTTCCTTTCTTCCCCTTGCAGCCCCCTTGCATGCCTCCCAAATCTGTCGCACAATGTCCCCCAACCTCCAGGAGTAGATTGGGGGGGGGGAGATGCAGGCAGGATGAGAGGAAGGGGAAGTATAATGCCGCTTACGAAAAGCTGGACTGCAATCATATACTCACTTACCTGGAAGTAGCCCCTTTCAAATTCTGCAAAACCTAGGCATGTTTAGAATTGCGCTGTTGAATATGTGCTCACTGAATCTCTCTTCTGCTTTACCCAGAATTCTTCTTCATTCTCCTGAGTGGGAGCTCCCACCTTACTGTAGCCTTGATTTTTATTTTATTTTAGGTGGCAGCTTGATGATGTACAACCCACCTTCCCAGCTATAAAAATAAAATAAGAATAACATGGATAAATTGATCAAAATCCTTCCTTCCTTCCTTCCTTCCTTCCTTCCTTCCTTCCTTCCTTCTTTCTCCCTCTCTCTCTCTCTCTCTCTCTCTCACCTGGCGTAATGGGTGAATGCATCTGGCTGTTAACCAGATGGTTAGTGGTTTGAGCCAACTCTATGATTCTATGGTTACAGGGTTCATTGTATTTGAACAGGGACCTTCAAGTACACCTCAAATTCCACTCCATCTAACTCCCAGTGGGATGTACCAAAGCGGGTAACCTTGTTATCCCTTACCCCATTTTTAATTATAGCATAACTATCCTTCCTCAAATTTTATGCAAACAACTTTGGAAAAGGTGTGAGTTGCACCTGCTAAATGTTGACTGGGAAAGGTTTATTTTACTTCTTGAGTAAGATGGCAAAGGATTTTAACGCTGATCGTGTGTGTGTGTGTGTGTGTGTGTGTGTGAAGATGGAGGGGGTGCGTGTGCCTATATTTCTCTCTCTCTCTCTCCCTCCCTCTCCTTCTCCCTCCCTCCCTCCTGACTGAAAAATGCTTCCATGCTCCTAGAGCTTAGCACAGATAGATTGAGATAAAACGTTTTTGGTGACGTAAGGGTCCATGTAAATGCTAAGTGTTGCTCTAATGGAACTGGCAGAGATAATGAGCACAAGGATAAAGGTCTCTGGAGGCCAGAGTTTTATGAATGTTACTGATTTAGTATGTGGGGTTTTGGACTCCATTATTAAAAACGTTGCTGACCTCTGTTCAATTAGGCCACAGTAGAAAGGTACAAGCTTGATGCTTGTCTGGAGGGTTCATATTTTAAAGCTCTTCATCCCTTCTGACTTATCCCATCCCAGATCCTGCCCGTGTGGTCAACATGCCACCCGTCATATACGTTCCTGTGGGGATACATGGATACATTCGCTGCCCAGTTGAGGCCGAACCTCCGGTTACCCTAGTCAAGTGGAACAAAGATGGACGCCCTCTGCACATTGAAAAGGTAGAAGGAGCTCTTAGTTGTGTGTGATTTTGTTTGTTTTAGGACTTCAGCTGTTTATTACTTGCATTCATATCTGGACTTTTCTTCAAGGAGCTCAGGGTGGTACGCAAGATTGTTCCCTTCCTGTTTTATCCCCACAATAGCCCTATGAGGTAGGCTAAGCTGAGATAGCGACCAACCTTCAGTAATGTCAGTGGGATATTTGAAGCTGAATCTCCCCAGATCTAGTCTTGATCTACCACACTGATTTAATTATCCTGGTTGAAACTAGGTTTTAGTTGTTATTCCTATACTTGCTTAGCTGTGACTATGCCTTGTTGAACTCAATGGGTCTGCATCCAGTGTAGCACTAAGTTAATGCCTCTTAGCTGTATACATGTTCCAATGAAGAAATTCACCGTTATTGCATAAGCAAATGTATAAGCAGGTTGCTAGTAACCTTGTTGCATGACAGATGGTGCAATCTGTTGTGCAATGAATTTCCACTAGCACATCCTTTGTTGCACAACATTAAACCTCATCTGTCTGCTAGGGCAAGAGCCCTTGCCCTAGCAAACAGAGAATGTAAGTTACAGACCAATGGGACTTAGTTCTGACTAGATGTGCATAGGATTGCTGTTCATTAATCAGTTAGATTTTCTGATGAAAACTGAAAGTGAACAGTGCCCCTGCTCCATAGATATGTCCCTTGCTTCAGGTATAGCTATACATAGGAAGGTGAGGCATACAGTTGGTCAGAAATATATTTCTAACTGAAAAAGACACTTGCCCTTCTCCTGCTACTTTGCAGAACTCTTGGAAATTAAAAATGGGTGTCTTACCAGAAGAACATGTTCTAGCCCAAACACCGCATGTAGTTCTTCTTTGGTTTGGTTAGCCTCAGCTGGATTCCAACATGGCAGCCACAGCTGGAAAAAGCTGAAAAGTCAGGACTGGTCTTTTCTCAGGATCTTCCAGCTTCCCCTCCAGCCTGTGAGAGCCCCCACCTGCGTGTCCCAACCGACTGGCTGAATACCTGTCCTGTAAGGAATGCCTTTTGCCAATTAGTGACCCACTGACCCACCCCCTTCCATGTGATCTCTGTCAGTTTTGGCTAGGACACCCTTGTTGCATACGAAGATGCTGCACTTCTCCCCTCCCCACACCATGTGAAAGTCTCTTGGCATTTAGAAGAGAACAATAATTTGGATTCTTCAATCTAATCAACAGCAATCTCTCCATCTAGAGTCTCATAGGGAGTTTATTCCTCTTGTCACTGTGGGAGATGAGCATCATTAATCTAACACTGGTGGAAGTATAACGGGTCATCTGGCAGATATTACTATATATGGGATGCTTAAAAGATCTTCCTTAATGAGACTCCGTCCTGCTATTACCTTGGTTTGAAAAATCCTATCAAGGACTTCATTCTTTTAAATATTTAAACAAAATACTCAATATTTAGAGTTTCCTTTAAATATTAACAGTTTAAAGATTATATTCTGACTGTTTCTAATGGAGTGTGTGTGCAGGGAAGTCATCTACTAATGTGATTCTCAACTTCAGGCATGATAGTGTTGATGATCAGGGAAGGGTACAATCCAGCCAAAGCTGAGCACTTGGAAGCCCTGTAGATTTCCATGGGGAAGATACTTGTTATGTGCTTAGCTCACTCATTGAAATCAGTGAATGTTCATCACGCCCAACGTTTAGAAAGATCATGCCCACTATTTGCCCCCACAGACACATGATGTCTGTGGCCGATGTATAGGATAGGAATCCAATGGGTTGGTCCAGTGCTGGGGAATCACTCCTGATATGGGTCAAGTGCCACGATCTCGCATAGGCCCACCATTGGGAGAGGTGTTTTGGCCCATCGGTCTCCATGTGGACTCCTAGACAGAGTCCTCCTTTCTGGACCCCTTTAACGGGGTACTTGTGTGACTAAGGATCCAGCCCAATGCCTTATACGCCAAAGTTGTGACAGTTGCTATGAGGTAGGCGAAAGCAGGGCTTTTTTCCAACCAGAACTCAGTTCCAGCACCTCTCAGGTGGACACCATTGTCATTCTAAGAGAATGAAGGAGGTGTTCATGATGAGTTCCTGCACCTTCTTTTCTAGAAAAATAGCACTGGGTGAAAGTCTGCAAGCTGGCCAGTTTGCTTGTAGAAGAAAATTGCTCCTTGGCCCCGAATATGATGACTAATTAATTATAGCAACGTCCTTACTCCAACTTGCCCACTCCCCCACTGAGCAGGCCTCTAACTGTCCGGGTGGGTGGTAAATCATGTGTTGGTCAACCAAGAGGGTGGTCTGCTCCAGGTCACCCTCCTAAATACCCCAGGGACAGGCACGGCACAGCCCCCATGCCCATGCCCTGATAGGCTTGAGGGCAATATACGCTCTTTTAGAGGGTCCGGCTTGGCCAGGTGGAGGGCGGCATCAGGCAGCCACCCCCTCCTCAGCCATGCAGGAAGGTGGCAATATTCCCCTGTCTGGCTACAACCACACTGTGTGGCAAATGTCCCCCTGCCCCCGGAGCTCCAGCAGAATGGATTTCTGTAATGAGCAAGGTAGAAATGTATATATATGTATTAATGAGCAATCTGGAATTCAAGCTGAGCGAAGAAACATGTTTACCACATGCAGAAGGGGACGCGGGTGGCACTGTGGTTTAAACTACAGAGCCTAGGACTTGCCGATCAGAAGGTTGGCGGTTCAAATCCCTGCGACGGGGTGAGCTCCTGTTGTTCGGTCCCTGCTCCTGCCAACCTAGCAGTTCGAAAGCACGTCAAAGTGCAAGTAGATAAATAGGTACTGCTTTGGCAGGAAGGTAAACGGCGTTTCTGTGTGCTGCTCTGGTTAGCCAGAAGTGGCTTAGTCATGCTGTCCATATGACCCGGAAGCTGTACGCCAGCTCCCTCGGCCAATAAAGCGAGATGAGCGCTGCAACCCCAGAGTCGGCCACGACTGGACCTAATGGTCAGGGGTCCCTTTACCTTTACCTTTATACATGCAGAAGGTCCCAGGTTCAATCCCTGGCATCTCCAAGCAGGGCTCGGAGTGAACTGTGCCTGAAATCCTGAAGAGCTTTTGCCAGTCAGTGTAGGCAATCCTGATCTAAATGGGAAGGAATTCAGTGTTGCACTAACACAAATGTTTCATCAGTGTATCCATTTCTGCTTGCCTGATGGAATGGTCCCCTGCTTACTCCCACTGCATGCTCCCCTGACCCCTCCAGAGCCAATGGGGGGTCACACAGGGAAAGGAGAATAGGGGGGAAGTCCCCTATTGGGACTCATTGTGGTGGCTCCTGCTACCGCACCTATGGTCTGGCTTGGTATAATGCAGCTTCCTGTGTTCCCCACATGGCTCTAGCACTGTAGCTCAGGTACCATCTTGGCTGCAGTCCCAGCCTGTTACAACTCCAAGTCAGCTGATTCCAATGAGCCAATCCCTGCCCACCAGGACCTTTTTAAAGCCGTAGCCTTAGTGTTTGCTTTGTATTCCAAGGAACTTCTCTCTGGTACAAGGATATTCCCTAAGCTCCTGCCCCTCCTGCCACCCTTGATTGGTGCTCTAGATTTGTTTTGGACAACTGGGCCGCTTGGATGGATACGAACTCCTCCTGTTCTCAGGACCTGACCACCAGAAATGACCCTCCCAGGGACCCAATGTTTGGCACGATGCTTTATTCAGAGGCATGAGATCTCAGATGTTTTTGAGCAGGCAACAAAGGATACCTCCATCTTGCTTTGTTTGCAAGCTTGCTGGGGGCATCTGCTTGGCCACAGCTGGAGAAGCAGCAGTGCACCCGATGATCCTTTGGTCATCCAGGAAGATAGTTAGGAAGCCTGAGCCCATTTCTTTTCTGCAGGGCCCTAGATTTCCTGCATCTTCCCAGTCCCCGCTTTTAAACACCTAAACCTAAAAAATACATTTTTAGTCTTGCTTACTGGGTGATGCATGCTGTAAAGTGCAGTGCCAGGGAGACCATGTTCTATCCACCACTTTAATTTCCCAAAGGAAGATCTATACATGGATACACATAGGTGTCATGGGCCTGCACCCAAAGCCCTCTACGTACCTAGCTCCTTCCTTGATCTGATCTGGCACAAATGGCTTCCCTTAAGTGGGGTGGGCACTGGGGCTGAATGTGGACCTTCACTGGCCTATGGAGGAGAGCGAGCATATGTTCCCTCGAAATTACAGTCAGTGGTAGCTTACTCTGGAATAAGTTGCCGTATGCCGTAGGCCGTAGGCTGGCACTCAGGTTGGTATGGGATGATTTTGCACCCTAGCCATCATGATGATGGGAATAATTGGTGATCCTAGGGTACTTTGTTTTTGTTGAGCGCTACTGACCTGAGCTATATTCAAGCTGATGCCAGGAGGAGGAATTGTCCATATCTCATTAGCAGGGCTCTGTGTCAACATGTTTCCCCGAAGCGATACATCTGTGCCATCCAAGTAGGCCAATTATGATAACTGACCGTCTCCCAGCAGACAGAAACAAAGGGATTACAAATGCAGTCCAAAATGTTGACAAGGGGATTTTGGTTTATGAATCCCCCCCCCCCCCCAAATCTAAAGAACTGCTGTCCTGTTTTTCTCCTCTTCCTCAGCATTTGCTAGGTGTGATTCTTGAAGTTTTACAGCTGCAGCTTTGAATCTTCCTTCCTGCTTCCCTCCCTCCCCTTAGAAAAAAATAATAAAAAGAACTGTGGACCAGGGCTCACCAGTTTCTAACTCCAGTAATTCATTCTCTCTCTTCTATACAGTGCTTGGAATAAAGTAGCTTGAATTAAAAAAAAGTCCACTGAATTAGTTCAAAGACCTCTGAACGACACCTGAAAGTTGCTCCCATAACTTTTGAGTGAATTGAATGTAGATTAAGTTTTAGGGTGGAACTTTGAACAATTTCCAACTTTAAAACCTTCAACCTCTTACATGTGGGTTTTTGGGTTTTTTTACACTTTGGACTTTGGGGCCTTTAAGCTTAAATATGATAATTGTTTGAAGGAATGAATTAAGCTATTCACATCCCACTGTGTCCATATTTTGATGTTGTTGTTTTAGTTGTTTGAAGTACACTGTATGCGTCAGCACAGCTGCTTGTAACATTGTGAATACTGAAAAGTATTTTGCCAATGATCATTTGGATGAACTTGAACTGAGCATGAGCCAAGATAGTTCATTTTGTAAAGGGGGACCAACACGAACTAGAATTAATTTCTTTTTGAACACGTTCACCTAGAACTAGAATTAGTTGCTTTTAAAAAAATGAACTTTCCAAGCTCTGACATTAAGGATCTGGCAGCTGCTAGGACATTTCTGAATTAAGGATGAGCTGAATTGCTTGTTCCCATTCTGGAAAGTTTGGGTGATTTTACTCTGCCAGAATTCCAGAAGTTTGTGAAATTTGGAACGGATTCCCCAGTTTGCACTGAGGATGCCTTCTGTGGCCTTCTGCATCCAGAAGAACTTTACATGGTCCCAACACTTGTAACGTTGACCCCATTGCTGCATTAGAGGTTTCTGGGCATAGAGATGGAGGCCTGTGTGGCCTGGGAACCAAAAACCTGAATCAGAACAGGTACCTGGACAGACTAGGCCCCCATTCCTGTATTTAATGTGTTGTGCTTAGACCTGGAACTCTTTAATCCAAATTAGCTACCTAGGACAGATTTGCTCCTAACTCCCTCTCCCATAATCAGCTCCTGGCCATGACACAGTCCATAGGCCTCCACTTTAAATTTCCTTAGATACCCATATTATTTCACTTGCAGAAGTGAAACCCATGTGTCTGCAGGGGGTCAGAGCAGGGGAGAACTTCCAGAAGAAAAAAATGCAGAATTGGACAGGGTTAAAATGTTCCTTTCTCTCACCCCAAGAATTGGTCTTCCCCCTCAAAATGCAGCTACAGTAATTCCACTGTCTTAAAGGAAAAGTCTTTAAAACAGAATCCTACAACTACAAGTTATATTAAGTTTAGTGCGGGTGGCGCTGTGGGTTAAACCACTGAGCCTAGGGCTTGCCGATCAGAAGCTTGGCGGTTGGAATCTGCGCGACCGGGTGAGCTCCCGTTGTTCGGTCCCTCTCCTGCCAACCTAGCAGTTCAAAAGCACATCAAAATGCAAGTAGATAAATAGGTACCACTCCATCAGGAAGGTAAACGGTGTTTCTGTGCGCTGCTCTGGTTCGCCAGAAGCGGCTTAGTCATTCTGGCCACATGACCCGGAAGCTGTACGCTGGCTTCCTTGGCCAGTAAAGCGAGATGAGCGCCACAACCACAGAGTCGGTCACGACTGGACCTAGTGGTCAGGGGTCCCTTTACCTTTTTACCCTGAATCACTAGGTGGTGCAAACAGCACTGTAGTGACATCTACTGACAAATGAAAAACATTACATCAAAGTATATATTGAAATGTCAGCTGAAGAGGAGGGGTTCATTGCGGTTCCAGTCTATGCAGCATCTACACTTAAATATATGGCTACACATTCAACCAGATAATTTAAGCGGAGAGAAAAACACAAAACAGCCATATATCTCATATGAAACTCAAAACTGCAATGTGTCTAGTCTTCTCTCTTGCCTGTGCAGTTTTCTGGCTGGAGTCTGATGGAAGATGGCTCAATTCGAATAGAAGAGGCAACGGAAGAAGCTCTTGGCACATACACCTGCGTGCCTTATAATGCCCTGGGTACAATGGGCCAGTCCCCCCCTGCCCGACTCGTACTGAAGGTATTTATTTACTTTTTAAACATTAGTATATTTCTCTTTAACTGAAGAGGCTCACAAAGCAGCATACTCACAAAAAAGAGCAGTAGTGTGGCACTGCATACCCTTAGGCTTTTATTCTAAAAGGCATGGCACACAAGGAAAAAGGAACAGGGAGGGAGGAGGGCAGAACTCCCCCACCCCCAGGTCAGGCAGCAGTTCTTAAAGTGCTTATACCAATCAGCTTGAATGCAAATGGCCCACATAGCCTGATGGAATGGCTGCTGCCAGGTGACATCTGAGGAAAGGCTAAAGGTGTCTGGTCTCTCAACAGAGGCAGTTGAATTGCTCAGCTTCTCCCTCAAGCTCAGCAGCCTGATGCAATAACTCTGAGGGACAGTTGGGAAGAGCCAGAGGCAGCTAGTATCTCACCTCTTGATATATTGCTGTTCTGAAAAGCTTGTGAACTATGCATATTGCACTGAGCATGTCTAACTTTGGATGCAATCCGCATCAACAAAATGCCAGGTGTAATGGCAAGACTTGACTGTTATGAAGCTCTCCTGGCTGGGTGTGGTGTACGGGGGCACAGTACAGAGCCTCTCTGGGTGCCCCAAATCAGATCAGCTCAGCTAAAGTGAAGAGACCACAGGCTTTGATTTAAAGGAATTGTAGATTCATTCGATTGAAATGAGTCTGTCTGATTCTGTTGCTAATGTGATAGAAGACAAATCCCCAGCCCTTTTGAGCTCAGAGACCCCCTTGGAAGTCTAAGAAACTGCCACGGACACCACAAGTATCCATTTCATGGGGGTGGGGGTGGGGAACCAATGTCTGGTGATGCTTAGACCCCCCCCCGCCCAACGAGCAAAATTCCTTCAACCTTTAAAAAAACCCCACAAAAAGCAGCCCCCTCTAATAAAATCAACCTAACAACTGCAAAATGCAAAAAAAGAGGAAGAACCTTTAATTTAAAAAATAAAATGGGGAGGGGCATGAGGATCTGGCAGCTACCAAGGGGGGGGGTTGGTATCTGAGTGCACCATGATGCCTGTGGGGACCCCAGTGATAAGACATACTATAACAATCCACCTTCTAAGAAGCTGAAAAAGTCAGCATGCAAATGTCGAGGAGGAGGAGATGGTGCTGTCAGTTGGAGGCATCCAGCAGAGAAGATGACCAGTCAATCTGCCAGCGTTGGGCAGCTCTTACATACTGTCTCCATGAAATGGACAGTGAATGTGAGTGTGTGCACACGAGAGCATCGTGCAAACCAAGTCGAGCAAGCTGCATGCTTGCATGAGCGTTGTGAGCAGCTAAGCGTTGGTGGGAGAGAGTGTGCGAAGGGAGAACAAACACAGAGAAGGTATTGCACACCCGCCTCATCCGTGAATTTACATGGGTCAGTGATTGTATGTATGTCAATGTAATCTGTTCAACCATCTGGCTTTTGGCAGACTCATTAACTGGCTAAAAGTTCTGTAATTGGATGGCAGATTTTTTAAATGCAGGTTTCGGCTGTGCGTTCAATGAGAGTTGTTCGATTTTTTAATTTCCCCCACTCGCCTTTCTCTCCCCTTGCCTTCCATCCCTGGCTGCAGGACCCGCCCTATTTTACGGTGCTACCAGGCTGGGAGTACAGACAAGAGGCAGGGAGGGAGCTGTTGATACCCTGTGCTGCTGCAGGAGACCCCTTTCCTGCCATCGCCTGGAGAAAGGTACCCGGCCTGCCAGAAAAATCTGCAGTGCCTTTGGCTTTTGATGAATATTGCAGACAGAGAAGCCACACTCTGTCCCGGTAAGAGCAAAACTGCAGGTTCAGCTGCTTCGCTTCGGGCTGTACTACTGCCGCCCCCGTCCCGCAGGTGGGTGGGGGAGAGACCCAGCTCCTAGCAAGGAAGCCTTAGAAGCTGCAGAAACCTTAGCCACCGTCAGCCAGCAACAGCGGCAATTGCAAAATGAGCCGCTCTGTTTTATTCATTTCTTTATTGCATTCATATCCCACCTTTCCTGCAAGGAACTCAAGGTTTCCCCCTCCTCATGAGACAACCTCATGAGATAGCTTTGCGCAGTGGCAGTATCGTAGCCAGTGAGGTTAATCTGAGGCGCAATTATTGCTAATTGAAAACTTTTCCAGAAAAAAACAAAAGCAACCTCATGAGATAGGTTAGGCTGAGAGGCAGCAACTGGCCCAAGGTCACCCACTGAACTTCATAGCTAAGTGGGAGTTTGAACCCTGGTCTCCCAGGTCTGATGCTCTAACCACTGCACCACACTGGTTCTCACTTGCCCACTTGCTCCACTCACTCCTCTGTGCCGGTATCTACTGCAGGTCCCCCTCCCCCTTGTGGACCCCTTCCTCCAGTGCAGTGCATGGGACAGACTTGCCTCTTTCTGTGCTAATATTTTGCAGCATACTGCCAAATCAAACCATGATTTGCTGGAGGTACAGATGAAGGAACCTATTAGTTTTGCTTCTCTCTGTTTTCCATTTTTCTACTCTTAAATCCAGTTCTCTACATTTACCCAGCAATTTGCATTTTTTTTTGGGAGGGGGGGTCCTCCTGAAAATCAGGTCAGCATTTGAGTACAAATATCTCTTAATACACCTTTGTTTGTACTCAGTTTTTACTAATGTGCACATTTTTGCAAGCAATTTCCCCAAACACAATGCATTCTTGTTCATTATTTTAATGAGATATATGTGTGTTTATTCCCACTTTCCCTTTATATATACATTTTAGACGGATTGGTTGGGCAACCTCATTGCAGAATTTGGGGAAGTGTGAATTTTGTAGGATAGCCGCTTTTTGTTCTGTGCATCAGCTTGAGATGTGCAAATTTGGTAGTTTCTCCTTAAAATGAAAACAAAATTAAAAATTGTCTCCCGTTCCTAGCTGGAGTACAGTCAGGAGGACACTGTCTCTTAACTACAGCAGTCTTTCATATGAGCATTGCAATTTTAGTGTTGAAAGGGACCTTGGGAGGTAATCCAGTCCCACTCCCTTTGCTTGATGCAGGAATCTTGCAGCCCTAAGAAATAGTAATCCTGCCTCTGCTTAAATACCTCCAGTGAAGGCATATTTCTTACAAGTAGCGTATAAGCTCTGAGCTTTCCCACCCCAAAACATCTCGTTCAGCTGCTGCCCACACTGGGTGTCCTCCCTCAAGCTTTGACTCTTAGCAAATGGACAAGGGGTTTCTCCCATTTTGTGTCTGCTGTGAGAGATTCAGCAGGGGGTAAGGTCCAAACCAAAGCCACCAAGTGATATCAGCTTTCCCATTTTTCTGTGATCTTCCATTTTGCATTCTCCCCATTCTGACTCTCTTAAGAGTCCTAGCTTACTGCTGCTTGCCTAGCTGTTCTCCACATCTGGACTTGGGCCTCTGAACTTCAGGGAAGGGGAGTGGCTCAGTGGTAGAGGATCAGCTTTGTGTGCAGAAGGTCCCATGTTCAATCCCACAGCATCTCCTAGTAGTATTGGGAAAGACACAGAGTTTGAAAACCTGGAGAGCTGCTGCCAGTCAGTGTAGACCAGGCATAGACAAACTTGGCCCTCCAGATGTTTTGGGACTACAACTCCCATCATCCCTGACCATTGGTCCTGTTAGCTAGGGATGATGGGAGTTGTAGTCCCAAAACATCTGGAGGGCCACGTTTGCCTATGCCTGGTGTAGACATTACTGAGCTGGGTGGACCCAGGGGTCTGACCCAGTATAAGGCAGTTGCTCATGTCCTCAGGGTGTCCTTGATTGCTGCTTGGACTGTCTGTACCTCCTTATAGCATCGCCTCTTCTTTCTTTTTGACAAGCAGAAGCAACATACACTGTCAGAGGTCAGGAGGGGGAGATCTGTTTTGTCCATTGCTGCAGCTAAAGTGATTCTCATAGCCAAGTGCCACCCTAAACATCATCCTACGGCCATCTTCTGGTGCAGATGCGGGAACCTTTGTCTCTTAGGGTATTGTTGAACTGCAGCTCCCATCATCCCCACCAAGCACAGCTGGTGGCAAGGGATGGTGGGGCTTGTAGTCCTGTGGTTCCCATACCTGTTCTTTGGGAAAGGGCACTGCCTGAAACCCAAGGGAAACAGAGTGATTGCCTCATCATGCAACCAGATATTAATAGGGTGAATACAGGTGAGATCCATGGTGTCGTAGCTCCCTCTAGCGGCCTAAAGCTTTAAACTGAACAACAGTACGTAGAATGCAAAAGAATATCTATCTACCAGAGACCAGATCAGCTGTCAAGACCTTCTGACCCATTCCACAAAGAATTATGGTAACTGTAGTTTTGTGGTGTGGAGGATATTTTTTGAAGGGACCCTGAACAACTGCAGTTCCCAGGATTCCTTGGGTTGGGGGCCATGGACATTAAAACTGGCCTAGAAGTGGTTTAAAGTCATAATGCAGATAAATGTATGCACTCAGTGTTTCATATCCCAGAATTCATCCGTTCCGCCTCCCAAATATTACTGTCTTTTTAAAACATACATTACAATTATCTAAGGTTCATAGCTGTTAGGTAGGCCGCCTTCAGTTGTTGCAGAATTATGCAGGCATTCAGGTTACACAGAACACTTCATCTTTTTGTTGCCTGACCCCACTGACCTGCATCCTTTGGAGGGTGAACATCTGCAGGGAGAAGCCTGTTCTACTCAAGTGGGTGCTTTGCCAGTGGGGTAGTAGAGAAGGAACATTTGGGTACTTTTTCCCCAGCCATCACAGCCATCACTACCAGTTGTCAGAAGCAGGTGCCTCTTAAGGTGACTGTTAGAAGAAAAATATTGCTCCCTTTCCCTTATGGGGTATCTAAGAGCCCGTATAGAGTCCTTAAGTAGGTTCTCTAGCGGTAGGAGAAAATAACAGAGGCCAACCAGAGTATATTGAGAAGCAAAGCAGCTAGTAAGCATGATCCTTATTAAACTATTGCAACAGGGTCCCCCACTCACCCCACACAGGGAGGGAGGAGAGGAACCTAGAACAATGGTGTGCAAGCTCTTATATAGACATTTGAAAATTGCCTCCCCTGTAGCTCAAGACCACCCCCCAAAACAACATACATACATCACTGAAGGGGCGGTCTACAGCAGAAAACCTGTCTGCCAAGATACCTAATGGTCACTGATTGCTTTTATTTGGGAATCCTGGCCATTCTTTTGTAGTGGTAAATACTCAGTTCCTGAATCCAGGTCACAGGCTCACCCTATTCATACACAGATATGCCCTTCAGACAGGATTTTTCAGCAAAAGACAAGGGGGAAGCTTTCCCATTTCCTTCCTCCTTGCAGAGAAACATTTGAGGTCAATTTGGGAGAGTCAAAATGGTTTCAGGATTGCTCTCCTGTACTATTTCAGACACATAGTTTATATACTTATGTATGTGTTTGCCTTGTAAATTTATGAACGTATGATATATATGAGATCTTAGAATTCCTATAACAGTGGCTAAGAAAAATTAATGCATCAACCCAGCTCCAAAGAAGAGTGGTAGATGCAGATTTACATGTGCTACTTCATAGATGTACTGGATTTCTGTTTTTATTATTTCTAAATTTGTACATCTCACCGTAGAGGAAGCAGACTATGGGCTGATTACCTGTGTCTCTGCTCAGCCTGCTGACCAGCTGCTAATTGTGAATGTGTAACTTCAGGGTCGTTCCTGCTCTTCTTTCTTACGATTCTTTCTCATTTAGACTGGACTTGAGCCAGGCAGCCCTTCAAGTAAGGAACTGTCGACTGTGAAGGGGGGCCCTGCCCAAACCCCCCTTTATCTGTGCAGCAGAAGCACCCTCATGCCCATTCCTTGCTCTGTCCTTGCCTGCTCCCTCATCTCTGCTGGTTCTCCAGCTCTGCCTTGTACCTCTTTGTGCTCCTTTCTCCACACCTGCCTTACCTGCTCATACCGCCTTTTGGGAGCTGATCCCTCTGGCCAATGATTTTGCCAAAGGTGCCTCCAAGTGTCTGCAGGAAGGGCCCAGAATCGCACCCCTCTCCCAGTTTGTGCTAGCAGCATTGGCATCATGTTGCCTCACTCTGCTGCCCTTGCGACATGCCTCTGAGTTGTGTTTTTTCTCTCTTTATTTCTCCTTCCTTTCCCCTGTGCTTTCTCTGTTGTTTGACCAAGGTAGGGAAGCCCAGTAGAAGCAAGCACAACACCCTTCCAAGTGGCAGCCTCCAGTTCCGATCTCTCAGTAAGGATGACCACGGAGAGTGGGAATGTGTCGCTACCAACATAGTCACAAGCATAACTGCTAGCACTCATCTGACCGTCATCGGTAGGTATGGGAATGGATTGGAAGCGTTCATGGGCAGGGCCAAATGGGGGGTGCCATGGATGTTTGTGGTTTTTCTTCTCCTGGAGTGAAAAATGTTGTATTTGCTATTGCGGATAACGGTCCCGAGGAAGCAACCATTTGCAAATAGTTCTCACTGAGCTGTGGGGAGAAAAAAACAATCAGCATGAGCAGTTGCACTGTTAAACCAATGGTGGTTCAGAATTGCGGGAATTAGACTCTAGTTCTCATTTAGCAGAGCTTTGTGGAAGACAGTCCTGGGTCATTCGACCTGTTAATTAGTTCTCTCAATTTCCCTTCTATAAAAACTATGCAAGACACTCTCTTTTAAAGTTTAAAGTCCACCAAGCCTTTGGCCAGGGCACAGCCTGACTCCCTCCTTTGGCAATCTTCACAGAGCTCTAGCCCAATGGTTGCCATCAATTTGATTTGAATTAATTTTATAATGAAATGATTTTAGAATGTTGTATTATTTTATTGTTGTTAGCCGCCCTGAGCCCGGCTTCGGCTGGGGAGGGCGGGATATAAATAAAAATTTATTATTATTATTTAAAGCGCAAATAGCTTTTACTTAGTGTACTTGCAGTTGCAGATTAAATACACAACGCAGGTAGGTGATACATAGGTTGCTAAAACATCTTACATAGATTAAATTGTTACAGACGAAATCTGACTCTGAGGCAGATAGCAGCACAACGCAGCGTACCTGCTGGTCTAACTGTTAAGACTGTTCAACAAACTGCCATAAAGGTACCAACTGCCATAACTGCCACAGAGCATATGACATCACAGAGTTCTAAAGCTCTTGCAATTAACCCTTTACATACACATTATGGATGGTAACATTTCACAAGAATGACCTGCGAGAAATAGTCAGATAACAATGTGTAATAGTGTGGCTTGCAATAAAATAAAAAAATAAAAATTACAGTGCTCAAAATACATTTCATGGCAGTCCCTTAAAGGTGCAATTTTTTAACAGGTTTTTTTTTAGGGCGGGTGGGGAGAATGATTAGGCTAAAATTGAAGGAGTCAGGAAGGGGACCTTGTGGGTTTTAGTAAGGATCCCCCTCCCCTTTCTCAACCATTGGAGCACTGTTTTTAAGTGGTGACTGAATTGCAGTAGTTGTGAAATAGTCTTGCCTGTGCTTTTTGAACCTTGGAACTATAGCAGTTTGGGAACCGCCCCAAATCCGATGGCTCTGAAAATAGCAGATCTGCTTTTGTGGACAAGTCTCTTGAGCAGATCAGGGCCGTCTTAAGCATATCTGGCGCCGTGGTGCAAAGATCCCTCCGCACCCCCCCCCCCCGGTTTTCCAGAGTTGCTGACTTTTTTTAGGGGGGGCGGCGCTGCCGGCGACGCTCCCAGCTTTGCGGGGCTGTAGGAGGCGGGCAGCAACTGGAGGGCAGCTCCTCTGGTGGGGAAGAGGAAGAGGCTGGACGTGGCGGCTCCTGGCTCAGCTGGCCACTTTTTGCCGTAGTGGCCATGGCAGGCGGAGGCTCTGGGCGCGGCGCTGCTTCGGCGCGGCATGGTGGAGGCGGGCGAGGACGGTGAGGTGATGCTGGGAGGCGCCACGTTCAGCCTCCGCCTCTTCCCTGGTGCCCTTTAGAACTTGGTGCCCTGGCGCCCTGTGCCACTAGCCTCTATGGGTAACCTTGCACCCTGGAGTAGGTGGTGGTGGTATCCAGGAAGATGGAAATAAGGAATGCAGTTCTCTCTTGACCATTGCAATTGAAAGGGTAGGAAGAGAAATGGTGAACAAAATCCTAATGAGAGGTTACAACCAAACAGGACAGGATGTCTGAATGTTGGTGGCGAGGAGGAGAATGGAATAGAGTCAGCTGAGGAGGAGGGGTGGCTCATGGCTGGCTTCTTAGATAGAACACAGCTGATAGTGTCTCCAGAATAGGAAAAGAATGGATTAGGAGAAGGCATGCTGGGAATGAAGGGTATGTGGAGAAAGGAGAAGTGCAACGGAGGCTGATCTCCATATTTAGAAAGTCTGGCCTCTGTGTGTATGAAGAAGATACCCAGTTTTGGATCCATACTGGAGGACAAGGAAAATTCCCAGATACTGATGTTTCCTTGAAAAGAGCCAGCTAGCAAAGGTCTGGTGGCACCATCAGGTTCATAAAGGCTCCTAGCTGATGCATAATTGATCCAGCGCTGGGGATAGATAAAGAGGGAGGAATGATGGCGACTTATTTTAGAATCAGGGTTCCTCATGAATTCAAGGGTTTTCTGGTTTTTTGTTTTGTTTTGCAACATCTGCATAGTGTTGTTGACATTAAAATGGCAGTATGTATCCCCACCCATCTAATCCTTATTTACTATTTCTGGGGGAAATCTGATAAGTTTCTTTAGAAAACAACAGATATCACCTGTTAGTGCTATCTCAGTGACCTCATCTGGAAGCATGTTTTCTTGAAAGTTTGACTTGAGATAAAAGAAAATACTGTTCTGCCACCTTTGAATGAAAAAATGCCAATCAATCACCCTATGTTTTGCGTTGAGTGCTGTTTCCCCAACTTCTCTTTGCCTCTCTTTTCAATGATTTCATTGTGTGGACTTTTCAACTGTCCCATCTGTTTGCTCTAGGAGTCAAAATATTTGAGCCTACAGCCTGCAGAGTGGCTAATGGATAATTGGAGGGAGGTGATGTGCTTCTCTGTGTCAAGGGAGGCTCATATTTCTTGGATGATCTCTGTGGCAAATGCCATGTCTGAGTCATAGATGGTTCCCAGGAAGAGAAGATCATTTTTTCCTTTTAATTTCATGCTCCAATGAACCTGTTGCTAAAATCTGCTCTTTAATTCTTTTTTTTTATTTTTTAAATTTTATTTTGGTTATCTCTTTAGATGGGTTGAAGGGGAAGAAAAGGAGCATCCTTTCTTGTTGGTTGGTGCAAGTTTCTCACCTGCAAATGATGAGTCTAGACACATATATGGCTTCAGCCTCAGTATTTGTCAGGGCCTAGCAGGATTCAGACCCCCAATTACTCAGATTTTGGTGAAGAACCATAGCTCAGTGGTAGAATATCTGCTTTGCATGCAGAACGTCTCAAGTTGAATTCCTCGGCATCTCTGAGTAGGGCTGGCAAAGAATCCCTGTCTGAAAGCTGCCAATAGCCAGTGTAGACAATGCTGAGCTAAGTAGCTCCAGTGGTCTGACCCTGTATAAGACAGCTTCCTGTGGACCCACATCCTCTGTGCTTCCTTGATTACTGCTTTGGTTCACCTGCACCTTTCCAAAGCATTGCCTCTTTCCTTATACAGATAAGCAAAAGGGTAGAGGCACAATCCTCTTCCTACCAGAAGGTGGACTGCAGAGCCCTGTTCAGAAAAAAATCAAATGGGTGAGACTAGCAGACATTCCTAGGGAAGGATATTCCATAGTTTCGGGGCAACCTCAGAGCAAGCCCAGCTTCTCATATGACAATATAACCTCCAAACATATATGTGGAGGGGATGCAGAGGAGGGAGAATTGTGAAACCTCAAAATTATTTGATCACTAAGGGGTTCTCTTTGGCTTTAGAATATTGAATTTTCCCTGGATCACACTCTATTTTATCTAGAAATAATGTGGAGTAGGTGAGCAGTCATGTCTACATAGACCTATAATAAATAATGTATCTTCTTAAAGATAATGGATGTGCTTCTGGAAGGTCCACAGGCCCCAATGCAGCACACAGACCACACTGATGCAATGGTATGAGCAGCTGAACCTCCCTGAAGTACAGGTTGCATGGACTGGTTGTGTATCCATTTTAGACATAGTGATGACCACCAACTTGGACAGCTGTAGAAGAGCATTAGACATATTCACACTGAATAACGATATCCATGGCTACTAGCCATGGTGTCTGCATTCTGCTTCGGCTGTTGGAGGCCTCTGAATGTCCATTGCTGGGAATCACAAGTGCAGAGAACTTCTGTTGCACTCAGAATCTGCTTGTTGGCTCCCCATAGTCACCTGGTTGGCCACTGTGAGAACAGGATGCTAGACCAGATGGGCCTTTCTCCTGCTCTGGGAGGGCTCTGCTCACATTCTCATGAAGTGACCCATGGATTTGTGTTGCTTCCAATGGACAAAGACTATTGCACTATTAGCAGAAGAGGTTTCTGTCAAGGGTTGTGAAAAGAGGGAAGCTGCCCACTGGATGCTGCTGATGCTGATGCATTCCCCTGCCCTCAAATTAATAATGTCAAAATTACTGATGTTGCATGGTGACACCCTCTCCAAAACTAGGTTGCCATCTTTGAACCTGGTTGCTTGGCCCTTTAATTTCCACTTCTCTGTTCCTCTGCTTCTTAACAGCTATGTGCTCTCTCTTTATTTTGCCCTGGTACTTTGTCCTGATAAGGACAGAAAATAAGAAATATGAAGATAATAGAATGTATAATATAGGGCAGGCTACCTAAATTTAGAAAATTTGACTAAATTATCGTAAGGATTGTTAAACACACTAATGATCTCAAAACAGTAGTGATCTCAAAGATAATAGTAGTAGTAGCAGCATCAGCCAGGGACTCTCAGGGCCAGGGACTGAACGTGGCCCTTCAGGCCACTTCAGCTAGCCCTTTGGACTCTGCCACACCTTCCCAGGCCATGCTCTGTGCCTTCCTCTATTGCTTTTACCTGGTTGTAATATGTCCTTGAGTTCTGATGGTACCTCTTGCTTGCTTGGAGGGAGAGTGGTCTTTGTCTGGCCACACCCACCGTTGACATGCGGCCCTTGGGAGATTTCCCATGCAGGAATGTGGCCTTCAGGCTGAAAAAGGTTCCCCACCCCAGTTTTAAAAAATAACTCTATAATTTGATGTGCAACAATATTTTTTCTAATCATTTCCCCTCAGCATCTTAAACAGTTTCATTCTCTTTTCTCTCCCCCTCTTCCCTGTTTTCAGGCACAAGCCCCCATGCCCCAGGCAACGTGCGCATCGCTGTTTCCATGACCTCTGCCAATGTTTCCTGGGAGCCTGGCTATGATGGTGGATATGAACAGACATTCTCAGTTTGGTACGGCCCTCTGTGAGTCATCCCAGCATGCTTTGCTCTCTGCTTCTTTTCTTTCTCACTCGGCCAGAACTCGGAGTTGGAAGGGGCCTTGCCCTTCTGAGGCTGGAGTTCCACCGAACAGCTTGTTTTTAGCCTGATGTGCTTGAATGCCAATCACTCTAAGCGAGCCAGCAAGGGTGTCAGGTGTACCCAACACTTCTTTTCCAAAGAGGAAGATTAGCACAGAATAGGGTTTTCTCCACCCCTCTCAGTGGTACCTATATCCACTGCTGCGAGGCTGTTCACGTGCTTTGTTTAATACACTTATCTCTTGTCTTTGTTTCCATAATGGAACTCAAGGTGTTGTAGGTGGGTTTCTGGGCACTGACCAGGCCCAGACTTCCTGAGGTGCAAACCAGAGATGATATCAAGCATTTGATTGGCCCTTGTGTGCTTAGCTTTTTGTTTTACCAAATAGCAGCCAAAGTGGGGAGCAGGGGCCATTTGGAGCAGAACCCCAACATTGGGGGAAGGGGGTGTTGGCACTTTGTCCCCACTGCTATCACACTCTTGATTCCCCCTCCAGCTGCTCTTTGACAGTTTTTCTCCCGCTCTCATCACATGAGAACTTGTGGACCCCAATGAAGCTGAATGTTGGAAAACTCAGGACTGATAAAATAATGTCCTACTTCATGCAGCAGATAGTTCAACTATGGAACTTGCTGCCACATAGCTTGCGTCTCATGAAGTTGAATGCAGCCTGCCAGTCCTATATTCATGGTTTCATCAAGTGTTTCCTGTTTGGTTTTGATTCCTATACAAAAGATAGGACACCCACTTTTGTTTAAAAGTTTCTATTGAGTGGTTTCTCCCATTCCATAGTTTATTTTATTTTGTCATTTAGACCCCACCTTTCCTCCAAGGAGCTCAAGGTGGCATAGATTGTTCTCCCCCTCTCTGTTTTTTCCTCGCAACAATTGCTTATAGCTCATGATTTTATTCATGATCATTATATCCCAGGTCTTGTGGGGGATAGGTAGACAGATAGTAGCTACAATGCCTATCAGCACAAGCTAGCTCAGAGAGCACCAGGATTCCAAAGAAGGGAGCATAGCTCAGAGAGTAAACTGCATTCATGGCAGGTGGAAGACCCCAAGTTCAATCTCCAGTTAAAACCATGGTGGGGTACCTCTGGCCTTCCAGATGTTATAGGACTCCAACTCCTGTCAACCCCAGCCAGCATGACCACTAGCCAGATATGGTGGGAATTGTAGTCCAGCAACATCTGAAGGGCCACAGGTTCCCCTGCATCAAAACTATCAGGTAGCAGCAGGTGATTGGGAAGGACCCTTCTTTGCCTGAGACCCTGGAAAGCTGTTGTCATTCTTTGCTGGTCTAGATGGGCAAATTGGTGTAAGGCAGCTGCATGCCTTCCCATTTCAAGCTTTTTGCCAGATTAGGCAGGTGCTCAGATGTTGCTGCAGCACAGCAAATTCATTGCCTTGCACACGGCTTGGCAGAAAGAGGCCTCCAAGCTGATTGACATTCTGTCACTCTGTTGACTCTGAAGGAACAGCAGAGGTGAGAGTGACCTGCATTTCAGTTGTATTTCTCATCTCAAATCCTTGGGGATCTTCTCCCCACCCTTTCTTCTCCTCTTCTTCTCCTCCCGCCTCTTGATGGTCCAAGCTGACCAGCTTAGGGGTGAGGATGGTGGGTTGCTGATGGAGCAGAGATTGGCTATGTGCTTCCCCATCATAAAATCTACTTGGCTTCCTGAAGAGGATAAAGGTAGCGCTTGAGAAAGTGGGGGTTATATGATTATGTAAAGAAACAAAACGTGAGAAGGAAGGAAGGAAGGAAGGAGAGATGGGAGATAGGGGTGGGATAAAGGAAAAGGGTGTTGTGGGAGGTGGAGGAACACAGATCAATCAAGGGATTAGGCTTAGAGTACAAAATTTATGCAGCTGCCTCTGTGATTAAAATATCATTGCAAAGGAACAATTAAACCATCTTCCCTCTGTGAGCTGCGTCTCACCTTGGAGGGGAACAGCCAGATTGCTGTCAGCTGTCCTGGCAATTTTTACCCCATCACATTGTTGAGAAACAGGGATATTTTCAGAACCTTTAAAACAAAATAGGTTAATTTTCTTTGGCTTGGGTCTGCGCAAGGAGTCCCCAGGGGTGCGGAAAAGGAGCATAGGCATCTGTGGCAGATGCTTCTGCATTAAGCCAGCTCTGTGGATACAAGATGCTTCCGCTTTTGGAAGGTTCCCAAGGCAAAGAGTAGCATCCCCAAAGAGCCAGTGTGATGTAATGGCTAGAGGGTTAGACTAGGATCTGGGAGTCCAGGGTTCAAATCCCCTACTCAGCCATGAAACTTGCTACTGTGTGACCCTGGGGTGGGGAGCAGTCACTGTCTCTTAGCCTAGCCTACCTCAGAGGGTTGTTGGGAGGATAAAATGAGGAGGTGGGGAGAGCTATGTCCATCATCTTGAGCTCTTTGGAGGAAAGGTGGGATCTAAATGCAATAAATAAATGATAAACATTTTTTCCCCTCTACAGGGAACCTGGTCCATGCTGACTCACCTGCTGAAGAAGCCCTGCATTTCTTTTACAGGGATCCCGGTGCCCTTGCAGAGGATTCTGGGGCATGCTTATTTCATGCAGGTCCCTGGTTGCGTCTCTTGAGCCTCTTTATGGCCCTGCGTGAACTGAGCACAGCCTAAAACATTCCCAGTGCCCTTCCAACATCTGCCATTGCAGGGGGAGATTGCAAATGACAGACGAGCTGTCTTTCACCATTATTGATTCCCTCCCTCCTAACTGAGCTTTGGGGAAGCCCAGAGTGCTCCAGGACATGGTTTCAAAGTCACTGCCCTAAGGAGTTGTTTGCTTCCATCTTTAGCAAAGAGTTGCAATTTATTACCCACTGGAGCCACTTATTGGTGCCATGCTAAATTCTTCCTCCCCTTTTAATTTACATCCTGGGATTCTCTTTCCTGCTGGACTCTTATTCATTTATTCTCCCCAAGTGAATTGCAGTTGGGTTTGGTGTTTTTTTGGTGTATGTGGTGCAGCTTGAAGCAGCTGGATCTTCCCTTTAGGGCAAGAAATGACAACATTTTCTCGGTCTATGGTTGTATTCCAACAGGGGTAATCTATCAGAAAGAGTCTGCCAACTGTGAGCAGACATGAAGCCTGCATTGGGGCAAAAGCAAAAAGTAGACCACCTCCTTTTTCTCTCTACCCTTGCCTCCTTTCTCCCCATCCGACAGTCTGCCAGGATCTGCCAGAGGTCTGAACTGCTTGCTTGCAGAGGGCTTTATTGATGTTAGTGGGAGGGCCTCATGCAGTTTGAGGTTGCCTGCCTGCTCCATAGGGCCTTATCCACTTCCACTGTTGTCTATGGGTTGTAATCCAAAGTCGTGCTAAATTAAAGTCACTTGGTGGTATACTTGTTGCACCCTTGAAATCTTTTGCCCCAGCGGAAAGTTGTCGCTCAAGAGAATGCATGAGCAGGTTGCTGGTAATTTTGTTGCATGACAAGTGGTGCAATGTATTGCACAGAGAGTTTCCACTAGCACACTGTTGTGTTGGCATCTTCTGTTGCATAACATTAAAAAGGAATGGAGAAGGTAGCAGAGTCAGATCAGCAGAGCAGGCTAAGGATCAGAGTTCCTGCATGCAGCAGGTGCTTTGCTGCACAGGCAAAGCTTGCCAACAGGAGATGTTACAGAGGAACAGGAAAAGACAGGAACCAGTCACTGTGAAGAGGGGCAGAGCAAGACAGACTGAAGCTGCTCGGACCTTAAAGGGACCCACGTCTTCCCAAATTGTTCCTTGGAAGGGCTCTGGTTGAACTCCAAAAGTGTTGGAGGGATCCTGACAGGCACTGTTGCCTTTGCCCTATGGGCTGCTGTCCAGATGGTCCCATTGTCTAGGCTTTTGTTGTGCTGCCTGGATCTTGCTCTGACTTCACTTTAATCACATACTTGCACCTACTTCTGCCAGCAGCTTCTGCAGAAGCAGATGCTCTCGATGGAAACCTTACATAGGATCAGTGGTGCAAAGGAGAATTGTCAATTCAATGGGCCAACCCCATTTTGTTCCTTGAGGCAAAGGGCAAAAATTGTGGCTCCCTCAAGTTCATGTACGGAAGCTGACCAGATTAGCAGTGGAATCTTATCTCAATGCCGAACAGCAACCTCCACTGCCCTGAAGGACAGCAGGCTCACTTAGGGGGTGCAAACCTGGCCATATGGTGCAAACAGCCCTACCCAATCCTCACTCCTCAGCATCTGCTGCCTGCAGTGACTGCCTCACTCTTCCTTATGGTAGGGACAGCCCTGGGCAATCCCCATTGCCTTCTTTCAATGCTCTGCCTTCCGTTCCATTGGCATCAGCAGGGCCTGGAATGCGACCAAAGTGAATGAAATCATTTCTTGGCCATGGTCCTTATGGGAGGTGCTGCTCAGGTGAGCCTAGCCTGAAGGCAGCATTTGACTCTGGCATTAATTTGGCAGTCCCGCTGATGACGTATGAGTCAGCCTAGCCTCCCACCTGCTTATCCGTTAGCAGAGCTAGCACCGTGTGCCATGGAGAGGGCCGTCAGTAATTAATGTTTAGATTTGCCGTGACAAATAATCAGGGCTGATGCGGTAAGAGACCCAAGGGTGCAGGATGGCTGGATGAAAACATATCATTTCCGATTATCATTGTACTGTTGGGGGCTGTCATCATTTCATTAGTTTACATCCGATTGGATGGAAAGATCTGTACCCAGGTTTAGAGTGGCAAGCAAAAAACCAATTTACATCTCCCTCCTCTTTTGCTGCAGTGGAAACAGATCAAGCCTTTAGAAACTTGCGCACAGACCTTAGTGGTACAAAATTGCAGGAGTGTGAGTGTGTGTGTGTGTGTGTGTGTGTGAGTGTGTGTGTGTGTGTGAAGAGAGCGAGAGAAGAAACTCATTACATTAAGTGTTGGGTGCAGAATTCAACTTCTTAGATGTCTCACCCTTCATTAAAATCAACAATCAGGTTTCTAGCCCATATGATGGTTAAAAACAGGTTTGAAAGCTTGTGGGCAACACCTGCTGCATTTGCAGGAATCAGGGGAGTCTCTGAATAAGATCTGTGGGAAGCCAGAGGGTGTGGGGTTCAGGTCTCATTTCCCCCTCCCATGTAACTAGTAGGAGTAAAATAAATAATGCAAATCTGGAGTGATAATGCAAATGTGCTGGATTGAGTCTGGCCACAGAATCAAGCATTCCTTGCCATGAAATGTGAGTCATGTTGGTGCAGAATTTTGTATTTAGCAGAGTCCTGGGTGTCATTGGATCCAACCCCAAGTAGCTCCATTGTTCATTAAGGAATTATCTCTCTCTTTTTTCCTCTTTCTACACTTTTCTTTTCTCTCTCTTGTTCTCTTTTTTCTCTTTGATTTCTTCCCTCTAAAGAACCCGCCCCTTCGATTGTCTTTCTTCTATCTTGCCAGGATGAAGCGGGCACAATTTGGACCTCATGACTGGCTCTCTTTCCCAGTGCCAACTGGGCCCAGTTGGTTCCTCATGGATAATCTAGAACCGGAGACTGCCTACCAGTTCAGTGTCTTGGCCCAAAACAAGCTAGGCACAAGCTCCTTCAGTGAGGTGGTCACTGTGAATACTTTAGGTGAGACTCAGAAGAGGACCTTGTTGATCCAAGGTTCCATAAACCAAAATGACAAAGCCATTTAAAAAAAGAATGAATTACTAGCAGTGTTGTACCCAGTGTTATTCTGGAATTCTAAGAAACCAGAAAGCTTTCAAGGGTTCTCCAACTGGTTCAAAATGGTGTCTAATTGCATCTAAGCATAGACAAAAACCTTCTCATTGATCTTAGGAACTGCCAAGCAGAATTTGGTTATGACATCTTAAGAAAGGGGGGGGGAGGCACATGGAAATTTAGTGCTGTTCTTACTCTCAGTAAAAGTAAAAGGTTGAGCCAAAGGTGTCGTGGAAGAGCAGAGCTTCGAGGAAGCAGTTAAGGGGCAGCAGAATAGGTGGCATAAAGCAGGTATTCTGAGGAAAACATTCTGGGCATATGGGACAGTAAGGGTGAAATGGCAGAGCTTTTAAAGCAGAAGTGGTCAAACACTTTGGCAAATGTGCCACAATTCCAGTGTAAAACGCAAGACCCATCACCGCCCCCCATAGGTTTCTTGTGTCTGTTTTAAAAATATTTCTTTTCCCTTCCCCTTCTATCCCAACATTTTTTTTTTATCTTCAGCATTCCCTGTCACAACTCCAGAACCCCTGGTGCTGGTTACTCCACCAAGGTGCCTAACAGCCAATCGGACGCAGCAAGGAGTCCTATTGTCATGGCTTCCTCCAGCCAATCATAGCTTTCCGATTGACCGTTATATTATGGAGTTTCGGGTTGGAGAAAGATGGGAGATTTTAGATGATGCCATCTTGGGGAGTGACAGTGACTTCTTTGCAAAGGATTTGACTCAGGTAAGTGGATGACAGATTGAACCTACAGTGTGGTGGTCTTTCTGGGAAATCTTGGAGTGAATTAAGTGTGCAAGCTTAATAGGAATTCCTTAATAAGAAGGCTAGTAATAATAGACAAGTTTCCCTGAAAGACAAATTGTCTCCCAAACTGTTTATCTTTCCTTGCAATGTTCTGCCACAGAGGAGTTCCAGGCTGCTCTCTGACAAAAATGAGGTTCCAGGAAGCCTGAGCAGTGATGCATATGAGCTTGTCTGTACATCCTAGAACAGTGTTCTTCAAGACTGGGTCTCCAGATGTTGTTGGACTACAATTCCCATCATCCCCAGCCAGCTTAGCCAAATGTCAGGGATGATGGAAGTTTAAGTCCAACAACATTTGGGGATCAAAGGTTGAAGAACATTATCCTAGAGCATAGCCCCAAATCTTCTGTAGAAGAGGTTCTACAAAAGACTGCAAAGGGTTCCTTGGCAAATAGGCCTTTGGAGCAGCAGAAATGATGCTCTAATGGTGAAAATTTCTAACACACTGCTCTTTCATTTGAGAAGAGTGGTTGACATACTATCCATCTCTCTGAACTAGGAATGCTTCTGAAATTCCCATCCAAATTCCATTTTAAAAATTATGTATATCAGAATATCTCCCTGGATTTGGGACTTGCAAATTACCTGGTCTTGCTTCTGAAGTGGAACCAATGCATTAGTAATCCTCTGTGCTCCATTTTAAAAATAATAATAATTCTCTCTGTTCTCTTTTATTATGTTTAATTTTATGTTATATATTTTTACCAGTATAAGCCACCTGGACGGCCCTTTTGACTGTCGACAGGTGGGGTATAAATGGTATTGTGAATTCAGTTTTATGAAGCAAATGTTAGGTAATCAAGTGATATGTGTGTGTATATGTTTGGTGTTAAATGGTCCCTAAGGAAACCCACTAAATACGTTTTGGGGACTTAATTGCTTCACTCACTATCTCTTCGGAGACCCTAGAATACTCTGTTTTCTGACTTAACTACAGGTGTTGCAACCTGATGACTCTAGATACTAAAAGTGGCTAATCTCCCTGCATGTATAAAGCCAATTCCTTTGCCACCACTGGGAAAATATACTGTTTCCAATTAAAAACTGAGTCCAACTGTCGACCACAGTTTGTGGTGGCATTCATTTTTCACGACAAATGTCAGCATTTGGTTGCCAGGCGATGTTTGATAATGCACATATTTCATGCCATAGGACACATGGTACGAGTTCAGAGTTCTGGCTGTCATGCAAGACCTCATCAGTGAACCCAGCAACATTGCCGGCGTATCCAGCACAGGTAAGGAAGTGCTTTCTCCACCTTCCATTAAGCTTTTTCACCAGCCAAACCTAATCTGCGGATGGGCAAGATCATCAGAAGGAGTGGGTCCTTCTTGAGAATGGCCTCAGAACTGAGGAATTGTCCTGGCCCTCCCTGCCAGATGAAGGATTTGAACTCAGTTTTGTTTTTCTGCCCAATTATTTAATGCATAGATCTGAGTGATACATAGAGGAGGGTAAGGCTACCAATGGCTACTAGCCACAATGGCCATGCTTTGCCTCCACTATTAGAGGCAGTAGTGCTTCTGAGGAGGGGAGTGTTATTTTGCTTGGATCCTGCTTATGTGTTTCCCTTGGGCATCTAGTTGGCCACTGTGAGAACAGGATGCTGGATTAGAAGTGCTCCTGGCCTGATCCAGCTTAACTTGTGGTTCTCTGGATCTTGTTGGGCTATTCCTCCCACCATCCCTGACCATTGGCCATGCTGGCTGGGGCTGATGGGAGATGTAGTTCAACAAATTCTAGAGGACCATAACGGACCTGTTAAATGTTCAAGGTGCCAGAAGCCTTGTTTTCCCCCCCACATGGAGATGTGTTTCAGATGTTGACTGTTGTCCAAACCTCTTCAAAACTGCCTACCACAGCATGGCAGCATCAACCATTTCCCAAGGAAATCTCCTCAAATGTGTGTGGTGAAGAGATGATGGAAGTAATTCCATTTGTTTATTCTTACTCTGACGGTCTCCCTGCAGAACAAGTGCCTGTAGCAGTGTCTTAAGAGGCTCCCCTATTCTCTGTCTCTCCCAGACATATTTCCACAGCCAGAGCTGACTGATGAAGGCTTGGCCCGGCCTGTGCTGGCTGGAATAGTTGCCACCATTTGCTTCCTCGCGGCTGCCATCCTATTCAGCACTCTAGCTGCCTGCTTTGTCAACAAGCAACGCAAACGGAAACTTAAGCGCAAAAAAGGTGAGTCTGTACCTTGCATTTCCTGGAAAATTAAGACAATAATCACCTAGGCGTCAAGAGAGCCTTATACTCTGAAATCTTGAGGAAATGGTTCTGGGATAAACATGCTGCATTCCAAGACACTTGGTTTTCTAGGCACAGAATATGTGTTCAAACTATTTTCCCTCCACCAAACTTAGGCCGCATTTGTAAGGTAAAGGTAAAGGTACCCCTGCCCATACGGGCCAGTCGTGTCTGACTCTAGGGTTGTGCGCCCATCTCACTTAAGAGGCCGGGGGCCAGCGCTGTCCGAAGACACTTCCGGGTCACGTGGCCAGTGTGACAAAGCTGCTCTGGCGAGCCAGCACCAGTGCAGCACACGGAAACGCCGTTTACCTTCCCGCTATAAAGCGGTACCTATTTATCTACTTGCACTTAGGGGTGCTTTCAAACTGCTAGGTGGGCAGGAGCTGGGAACAAAAGACGGGAGCTCACCCCGCCGCGGGGATTCGAACCGCCGACCATACGATCGGCAAGTCCTAGGCGCTGAGGTTTTACCCACAGCGCCACCTGCATTTGTACCATCCACTTAAAGCACCATGATACTACTTTAAACATGTATGGCTTTCCCCAAAGAATTCTGGAAGGTGCAGTTGGTTAAAAGTTCTGAACATTGTTAGGAGGCCCCCATTCCCCTCACAGAGCTACAATTTCCAGGGTTTTCTGTGTGGAGGAATTGATAGTTAAGCCATTCTGGGAATGGTAGCCCTGGGCAGGGAATAAGGGCCTCCTAACAACTCTCAGCACCCTGGACAAACTAACTCCCAGAATTCTTTGGGGGAAGCCATGACTGTTTAAAGTGGTATATCAGTGCGGTAAATGGATGGTGTGAACGGGTCTTAAAAAGTCTCTCTACACCCCCACTTGCCTACTTTGGTATCCAGCTAATTTGTGTCATACTGTGTTTTAATATTAATGCATTGTGTTTTAATTGTTGTATCTTATCCTGGGACCTTATGGTTAATAAATTGTAGTAGTAGTAGTAGTAATAATAATAATAATAATAAGAAGAAGAAGAAGAAGAAGAAGAAGTTAGTTAAAACTAATGTGCTTAAGTTAGTCATGGCCCTTCATTTCAATGGGTCTATTAAATGTATGACTGTCATTGGATACAATCACTAGATATGATGATAAGGCCTCAAAGAGCTAACCTGTTTCCACAGTGTAAGGTTGTATTGTGGGGTGGGGTGTCGCATGACCAAACGTTTAATAATAATACCACAAAGCATTTGATGTCTGGAAAAAAGAAGTTGACCTCGCCTTCTCCCTGATGTGCTAGTTTTATATGCAGTGCTACTACAAATAAAACAGCATATAAAACACTGATATGCAGTGTATTTCAGCTCTCCCTGCTGAAATACAAGAGGCCCTATCGTATTGGCATTCCACTGGCTTCTGTAGACAAACCTGTGCAGACAAGCATTTCCCGGGACTTGAGCTTTGTGTTTTGTTTAAATAATATTTTTAATGGGCTTTTTTTCTCGTGTATTTTAATGATGGATGTTTTTAATGTTTTTTTATGGAATTGCTTTATTGCACATATTGCATGTGTGTGTGTTTTATAATTGATGTTATACTTGTAAAGTGCTTAGAAACCATTTTGACATGTAAGCAGTGTATAAATTAATAGATGATGATGATGATGATGATATGTGCAGCAGCATCTGGTCATGTGGAGAAAAATTTAATGTTGTGAACATCCTGTAATAGTGGGGATACCCAGCTTACACTGGCTACAAGGGTGAGCTTCTTGTTCTGTTTTTCATTGTTGGAAAAGTAAGAAATAGGGTACCTCATTCAATATTGTCCTTTCAACTCTTTTAATTATTTCTCCCACACCCCCTTTATATTTTCCAGACCCTCCTCTCTCAATAACCCATTGCAGGAAGAGTTTAGAGTCTCCGTAAGTATCTCTGTGTTGTAAAAAAACAAACAAACAAAAACCAGCAGAAGAAAATCTATGAAATCATCAGTTAAAAGTAACCATTCCCTTTGAGAGTTACACTTCCCAGAGTTCCCTGGGAAGATGGATTAAATGGTTAAACCACCCTGAGAAATGTAGGAATAGAAGGGTTTCCTAACAACCCTCAGCACCCTTAACAAGCTTCATCTCCCAGAATTATTTGGGGGAAGCCATGTTTGTTTAAAGTGGTATTGTGGTGTTTTAAACGTATGACATGAATGTGGCCTTTGCAAAGGAGAAGTAATATTAATAATGATGTCCCACATGTCCCACCCTAACTTCTGCTTATTCATTTTACATCCAGTTAAGGAGTTTATGTTATTTAGTGCTCATACATCCTTTTACTCAAACTGTGGTGTTAATCAAACTACAGACCTTGGTCTCCTCTGTGATCCATTATTAAAATTATGCCCCCCCCCCCCTTTCTATGGCACAGGTTGTCCTCTGGAAAAGTGAGCCCCGAGAGCATCCGGACGCTCCGCCCCCCCTCCGAATCTTCCGATGACCAGGGCCCACCCGGCAAGCGGATGCTTAGCCCCAGCAAGGAGAAGGAGCTCTCCCTTTACAAGAAGACCAAGCGGGCCATCAGCAGCAAGAAGTACAGTGTTTCCAAGGCTGAGGCAGAAGCTGAGGCGACCACCCCCATTGAACTCATCAGCCGCGGGCCAGACGGCCGTTTTGTCATGGATCCTTCGGAGATGGAGCCCTCCCTCAAGACCCGCCGGATAGAGGGCTTCCCCTTTGTGGAGGAGACGGACATGTACCCGGAGTTCCGCCAGTCCGATGAAGAGAACGACGACCCCGTGATGCCTGCCTCTGTGACAGCCCTCAAGTCCCAGCTGACGCCTCTCTCCTCCAGCCAGGAGTCTTACCTTCAGCCACCAGCATACAGCCCAAGGTTTCACCGGGGCCTGGAGGGGACGGGCACCATGGAGAGCCGCCTCCAAGCCACTGGCCAGGCCAGGCCTCCTGCCCCCAGGCCATTCCACCACGGCCCGTATTACGGTTACCTCAGCAGCAGCAGCCCCGGCGAGATGGACCCTCCGCCTTTCTACATGCCGGAGGTCAGCCCCCTCAGCTCTGTCATGTCCTCCCCGCCTCTGCACCCAGAGGGGCCTTTTGGCCATGCCACCATCCCCGAGGAGAATGGAGAGAACGCCTCCAACAGCACGCTGCCCCTGACCCAGACTCCGACGGGGGGCCGGTCCCCCGAGCCATGGGGCAGGGCCGAGTTCCCTTTCAGCGGCCTGGAATCGTCGCCCATCATGTTCCCCCACCAGCTCCACCAGTGCGAAATGGCTGAGAGCCTGCAGCCAAAGGCCAGTCTTCCTAGGGGACCACCACCTTCCTCGCTCCAGGTCCCCACGTCCTACCCTGGCATCCTGGCCCTGGAGGCACCAAAGAGCTGGACTGGCAAGTCGCCAAGCAGAAGCCAACCTTCCATGCCCACCGCCGCCAAATGGCAGGACAAACCTATGCAACCAATGGCGAGTCAAGGGCAGCTAAGACACACCAGTCAAGGCATGGGCATACCTGTGTTGCCTTACCATGGGCCGTCCGAGTCAGTCAGCCACAGCGGCACAAGCACATTTGGCCTGGACACCAGGTGGTACGACCCCCAACCCAGACCTCGGCCCAGCCCCCGGCAAGCCAGGAGGGCTGAGCCCAGTTTACATCAGGTGGTGCTACAACCTTCGAGGCTTTCCCCCCTGACCCAGAGCCCCCTCAGCTCCCGCACCAGCTCCCCAGAGCTGACGGCGCGGGCCAGGCCACGGCCAGGCCTCATCCACCAGGCGGAGATGTCTGAGATCACTCTGCAGCCTCCGGCGGCCGTCAGCTTCTCCCGCAAGTCCACCCCGTCGACAGGATCCCCTGCCCAGAGCAGCCAGGGAGGAAGCCCCAGCTTCCGGCCAGCCATGGCTTTCACTTCTCTGGCCACCGGCTATCCCCCCCCTCAGTGCCCTTCCCTGCCCGTGGAGCCCATAGATGTCTTCGGACAAATCCCCTCTCCGAGGAGGGGAGGGGAGGACATTCTTAGGCCGGAGCCGACACCGACAACCAGTTCAGGGTAAGTGTGTGTGTGTGGACATTGCCTGCTTCCCCTCCCCCCCAGCCTCTCTCTCCCTCCCCGCCTCACCTGCTCCCATCCCTTCCCCACAACTTCTTCCCCTGCCACCATCACCTGAATCCATGTTGAGGCACGCTGCAGCAACTTTTTTGGAGATGGCCTCCAGCTGGGATTTCTAGTATTATTTCCCCCTCCCTTCCCTAGTCAAGTTTTGCAGTGTTGGGCCACCCCCTGCCAATGTCCATTACCCCCTCAGCATGGGCGATTAGATCCATAGGGTCCCTGGCCTTTGGGACTGTTGGGAATTGTGTACTGTTGGTTAGCTCAAGGGCTCCCCCTTTTCCTCCCCCATCACAAGAAGTAAAAATATTGAAGCTTTCATTTTTGTTTGGGAGTCACGTGCCGGGATGAAATGAAGAGGGTGTCCAAATGTCTAAAAACTGTAGGTTCAGGTGGTGTTTCTTTTCGCTTTGCAACTGGGTCAGCGAGCCCCAGATATTACCAGTATTTTCCTCTTCTAGTTCCTGGCTGTTTACTTTCCTGGGACATTAAGGCCTTGAGGCCCGCTCTTTGCCTTCTTCACATCCTTCTTTTACCCCCCGAGAGGGTTTGTCATCTTCCATGAACGAAACATGGCCGCACAAGCCGCCTTTTTCCACAACATCTCCAAAAGGGGTGCTGCAGCCCCACCCACAAGACTTGGGCGAGGCGAGAGAAACAAAGACATTAGCCACATGAACAGCTTGTAAGGAGAGGACCAAAAAATTTAAAAAGTCAAAATCTACCCCAAACACACAGAAGTCCAATCAGGAAGCCGCCAGCACCCTCGGATCCTGTCCATGCAAGGGATTGCAGCTGGCCAATTACCTCCAGCAGCTGGTTTTCCAGGTACCAGGGTTGCACCAGGCAAAGCGTCTTCTCTTTCTTTCCGTTTCTTCCTTCTCCTCCCCACACCTCTGTCTTTCACACTAACTGTAGGTGCGCTCTCCTTCCATCCTTTTGTCTTTGTTCAAACAATTTTTTTGTTCTCCATGTAGTGGAGTTGGACTCCCCTTGCCCCCTCTCTTGACCCCCCAGCGTTGTGGAAATGAGTGGTGGTACCCTGCCCCCCGCCCTGCCCAAATGGCTTGATGGAAACATGTGTAGATCAATTTGGATCAGGAGGGAGAAGTGACTCAACAGCAAGCAAGGAACGAAGGGTGGGCTGGTTAGACTGTGGTCAGCCTGGTATGTGAACCCAAACAGTGGTTGTGGTAGGGTCATTGTAGAGCAAAGGTGTGAGACTTGAGTATAGCATGGGAAGCTGACTTTTCACCCCCCTGCCAAACATCCTTGCATTCTACCTATACTCTCTGGTACCTGGAAGCACTTAAGTCTTTGGAGACCCATTTAGCAAGGTTATTGGTTGCTGCTTCAGGAGATTGGACCCAAGGGATAGGAGACATGTCTTTGCGCTAAACGGCTGAAGGGCGCTGTAAATGACTAGCAAAATGAAAGCAACCTCTGTTACTTTAAACCTATGCTTGTATAGACAATCTGAAACCTAATGGATCCAAGACTTCCACTCAAAGACCACATATGGGAACATATTAGGACACTCTAGAGCAGTGTTCTTGAATATTGGGCTCCCATATATTGTTGATCTACAACTCCCATCATCACCGACAATTGGCTTAGTTGGCTGGGGATGATGGGAGTTGTAGTCCAACAACAGCTGGGGATCCAAGGTTGAAGAACACTACTCTAGAGGACACGTCCACAGTACAAACTTCATACCATTCTAACAGCCACGACTTCCCCCGAAGAATCATGGGAATTGTAGTGGTTTTTCTGCTGAACGCTTCCTGTTAAGAGATCCCTAACCCACCTTTACCCTCTCACAAGTGTGTCAAATTTAATTTTAATGTGTCAGATTGCTCCCCATTAATGGCACCCCCAAACCATTCACTGTCCTACTTGATGTTGAGGCTGGCCCTACCCTCCTCATGCAACTGCAGTTCCCAGGCTTCCCTGGAAGGAGGAAATGAATGTTGAGCTGGCTTCAGGTCTGCAGCCTGAAGCTTTCTGCAGGTCTGCAGCTTTCTCTGTGTTAGCGCCCTGTTGTCTGTGCTTTGAAGCCATGCCTTCTATACACTTTCGCCATCCTTTCTTTTGTTTCCATTTCTTTTCCCCCTTTGTTTTTCCAGCATTGTTTGTTTGCTTCTTTTGTGTTTCGGTTTCTTTCCCCCTCACTTTTCCTTTTGGATTTATTTTATTATTATTTTTTTCCTCCTCCGTTTGACTTGCTGATGTCTTGTGGAGCTTGGCTCCTTGCGGGTGTTGATAACTGCTTTGTTTTTGATTAATCTCAGCTATCTGGGCAGTGTTGTCGAGACAAGCCACTCCTCAGCTCAATAGGTAAGGGCGATCAATGTCTGGAAGGATGGTGCTGTGGGGCGTGGTTGGGGAGAGGGGCATGGGAGGGGATTCCAAAGGAGGGGGGCTCTTTTCAATAACATATATCTATATATCTATACATTTCCTTTAAAGGGGAATAAGGTATTGCAAAATCCAGGACAAACCTTTGCATACTTAGTCTCTGTGGCTTTTGGGTTTCCCCGTTCTCTTGTACATCTCCCTCTCTCTATAAGCACAGACTCTATATCAGCCAAACTTTTTCGGGCCACTGACCCCTTGATTCCATAAACTCTTCCCCAGTGCCCCCTACTCTATAAAAAGCATTGCTCAGAATAGCAGTTTGCCTTAGTAACAATAAATTGAATATGTATCCAAAATCCAATTTAGCTTAATTAATTCAACAAAACTAATTAACTTGATCCAGTGATACCAGCAATTCAAAGTTAAAAAGTCATTTATACCTCTCACACCTCCCCCCTGCTGCCCCCTTGCTCCTCAAGAGTGTGCCCCATCACCAAGAAGGACCACAATAAATGGATATTAAGTGGAGTAATGTGACTGAAGCAGTGAGCTCAGGTTCTAGCCTAACACTTTTAACCGCCACACCAGTCAGAAGTTCCAAACCCCGTTCTTCAGAGACCCTCCCGTATAGCTTGCTTTGTATGAGATTATATTACCCATCTCTTCCCTATACTTAATGAGCAGGCTGGCCTTACCATTAGGCAGAGTGAGGCAGCCACCTCAGGCAGCTGATTTTGGGTGTCATGAAAGGGCAGCAAACTGCTAACTCCCCATTTATGCATGCTATATTTGATGTGACGGTGCACATGCAACATGCCACAAACCCAGAAGTGGAACCTGGAAATGTGGAGCACCCTGGAGAATCTTCCTGGCTCACCAGCAGACCCTCTTTGGGCTCTGGGGAGGGTCTCATTGTGAGCCAGGAGGACTCTCCAGGGTGCTCCATTTACACACAGGGAAGCCTGGAACAAAACCGCTGCATAAATTGAGAGATGCCTGTATTTCATTTATAATTATTTTTAGTGATGGGGACAGGAAGCAGGGCTTTGGGATGTTCTGTCTCAGGTGCCAAAATAAGTGTCATGGCCTTGAGAGCTGCGCACCTTGACTGTCAGGAGCAGGAAGAGCCTATTGCAAGACCATACCCTCCAACTTTTTTCTGATGAAAATAAAGACATCCCCTGCAACATTTCTCCAATGAAAATAGGAACATCCTATTCCATCCCCTCCTACATTTCTTCAATGAAAATAGGGATATCCTAAGGAAAAGTGGGACATTCTAGGATCAAATCAGAAACCAGGATGGCTTCTGTAAATCTGGGACTTTCCCTGGAAAATAGAGGCACTTGGAGGGTCTACGAGACCCACTGATAAAATCTCAAACTGCCAGCCTTGGGTGGCAACATTCCAAATACTGGATGAAAACTCTTTGTTCTCACCATTCTTCTTAGCAAAATAGCAAAAGCAGGGGCTTTGACAGAACCCCTAGTAGTCTGCTGTAAAGGCCTGGTTGGCTTTGCTTGCCCAAAAAATGACCACAAATTGTGCAGGCACTGATTTATGTCCTGCAACATTGATCTACTAGGAGTCTCTCCTTAAACGAGAGAGGCTGGGCATTTCTGCCCTGTGTGAAAACTGGCAGATGATAAGCGACTGCATACTCTGTTGTTATTTAAAAAGAGACTCCATAAAGAAGAGAGGGAAGTGATAGCTTTATGATTTGGGGTTGTAAAGTTGTCAGTGGGTGAAGCGTTGCTGGGCACTTTATGACCAGGTCAGTATACAGTCTTCCCCACCCGCAAGCACACACGCACACAACCCCACTGTTTTATGGAGCCATAAAAACTGAAGAGGGACATGGTTTATGAGATTTGTGCAGACGCCTTAGATCAGCTCACTTCCACGGCGGGGATGCAGACAAATTTGGACAGGCATCTGGAGCATTGCCGTCAGTGTCTCTGGATGACTCTCTCTTCTGCAACATAAAAAACCCAGTGCCGTCTTTTGAGGACTGGGGAATGGATTTCAATACAAGGTCATGCCAGGGGAACTGCAGGCCAAGTTACACTTAAGATCCTGGGTGATTTATTCTAGGCCTCCCCAATGGAAGGCCCATTAATACCCAGTGGCAGCTTGGATGGGACTGCTATACCAGGCCCCTTAGTCCACCCCATACTGCAGTCTTTTGCAGCTTGGCACCCTCCAAATGTTTTGGGACTCCCATCAACCCCAGCCAATGGTGAGGGGTGATGGTAGGTGTAGCCTCAACAGCAGTATCTGGAGGGCCACATGCTCCCCATTTCCTGCCTTGGTAGATCACATGACCAAAAGATAGGAAGCCACTTTGAATCAGGTTGGACCATTTGTCCCTCTAGCCCAGATTGTCCTTTCTGACTAGCAGCAGCTTTCCAGGATCTTGGGAGGAGAGTCTTTATCATCACCTGCTACCTGAACTGTTTAACTGAGCCAGGGACCTTCTGCTTTCAAAGCAAAGACTGTGCCACTGAGCCATGGCCTGGTCTGATTTGCATTGTCATCACCCTCTTTTCAGTTTTTAATCTGGGCTGTATGTACAACACACACACTCAACATTCTGCACATTTGACAATTCAAATTTTGCATCAATGAAGTTTGCATGATGCTCTTATTTCATATAATTTATTTTGTTTTTGCTAGTTGTGGAGAGCAGGCTGCTAAAATCCTGTTGCACACACCTAGTCTGGCTTCTGGGATCTCAGCAGGCATTGCCCACACATTTTCAAAAATATATTTGTGTCCGTATGGGCTAGAAACTTGGCTTTTCATCATGAAGTTGAAAGCATTGTTTCTCAGATGGGGGCGAAGCACTGGTTCTCAGGAAGCTGAATTGTGGGTGTGCAGCACCCTGCAGTCCTTTAGGATATACAAAGCTATGTGTGTGCGCTCAGTTCACTGTGAATTTCTGTTAACCAAGGACAGGTCTCCTTGTCCCCTCACAGTTAATCTCATCACTGTAATGGGAAACCCAAAAACCACAAGGCCAAGCTGGTGTCCTGCGTGCTCTTCCCTTAAGTGGGGCAGGGCCTTCTGCTCATAGCCCTAGATGTGAGCCTAGGTGGGGGTTGGCCAGGACTTGCATATGCCCTGACAGTTGTCACTCTGGTGTACATCTTTTGGAGTTTGAGGACTCTTGTCTGTCTGTCTTTTTTGGAAGAGAAGAGTTTTCCCCTTTAAAGGCTGTCCATGTGCCAGTTCTCTGCATGCATTTCACAGTCGCTCTGGCTTGGAGAAGTTGTAAGTCCTCTTTGTCTGATTGCTTTTTCTCTCTTATTTCATTATGATTTCTACCTTACGTTTTGCTTTCTCTCTCTTTTCTCACTCCATTGTTACTACTTTTTCCTCCTCTTTCCTTCCCCTCCTTCTCCTGCCTTCTCCCCCCCTCCCACCTCTCTCTCCTCACCTCCCAACCTCCGCCTCCTGTCCCTTGTTCCTCTCCCTTCTCCATCCCTCTCCTGTCAGCATGGTGAAAATCCGTTGTGTAGACAAGTTGTGCTGTCCCCCGCAAACCTGGTGAAGGGATGCCTTTATCTGGTGTGTGCCCTGCTCTTTTATCAGCTTCCTCCTTACCTCATTGCGCTGCTGCTGCTACTGCTGCTGCTGCTGCTGGTGGTGGAGCCTGGCACGGCAGTAGGAAAATGCTTGGGGGGCAAGATGGGAGCATCTTTCATTGACTCAGCTTGCAAATGGCTGTGCAGCAGTATCACTCAAGTGTAGGTCCTTCTTGGAGTTTTGAGGTGGCTGGCAATCCCTTAAAATGGAGAAGGAGGGGTTTCTGTGCTTAAAAGCTTCAAAATCCTAGAGGCTGTAATCCAGCATTTTGGGGAGAGACTCTATTTATTGAGGTAATGCTGTGCTCATTGTACCTTTCCAGCTCGGTGTTTCATTCCAGTGCCAAGGGTTGCCACTTCACCCTTACATTTCTTCCTCTACTCTTCCAACCTTCAGCTGAAATAATAGCTCCCGATTTCTGCCATTGCTGACTAGTAGAACTGCTCATTTTAGTTGTTCTTTGTTGTTGGCATTCAAGAAGAATACTGTGCCATATAGGCAAACCATGTATCTCTTCCAGGTGTTTTTTCTCCTCTTGTCTTTGGACACTCTGGAAGGAAGCCATATTAGTCTTTTCTTGCTTTAGCCTAGTTTTCACCTATGCTCAATTAACATGAACTGGACATTTCAGGAAAAAGTTATCCATTTGAGCCCTAATTATATAGAGTCTGGGTAAGAATTTGAAATGTGGCTAACACACCTGGTACCATGTTTAGTTTTTGTAAAAAGACAAATCTATGGGCCATAACATTAGCGTTTATTAGGAAAGAGTGGGGTGATACTCAACTAGGTTTACTCAGGGAAAACTCACTGAAGTGAATGAACCCAGTTTAGTAATATCCATTCATTTCAATGGGTGTGCTCTGAGTAAAACTTACTTAAATACTATGTTGTTATTGTTATAATAATTATTAAATAATGACATGTATATATTGCCCTTCATCCAAAGCTCACTGGGTAGTTTGCGACATAAAAACACATAATAACAAAATAATAATCATTGCTCGGCCCACAAACACATTTAAAAGGTCATAGATTGTTTAATCAGTCAAAGGCCTTGTTGAAGAGAAATGTTTTCACTTTGCATCTAAAGATATGTAATGAAGTGTCAGGTGAACCTTCCTGGGGAGAGCATTCCACAAATGGAGAGCCACCACAGAAAAGCCCTGTTCTCGTGTTGCCACTCTCCGACCTCTTGTGGAGGAGGCACACAAAGAATGATGATTCCAGGGTCTGAGTCAGTTCATATTTTACATTCAGAGGATCCCCAAACCATTCATCTCTTTAAAAGCTGGGAATAAATGACTTTGAATTGGTAACTTCCTTAAATATCCGAAGAGTTTCCTCTAAACCGTTTTAATTTGTTCACAGCTGAAGATAGAAAACAGGGTGAAATGGACCATTAGTTTAACCATTGGTTTAATTTCGTATGGTCTTGTGTTGGCCTTCATTAGAAAGTTTTACTCCTTTAAAAAACTGTACTTGACATTTAGTATTTCCAAAGCAAAGCTTTTACACTATCTAATCTAGGTTATTCCATTAGAAAAAGTCTAAAATACCCAAATTAGGAAGCAGGGAAAATGACATATTTCCTAGACACTTCCAAGTATATACCATTATAAATGTGTTAAGGTGCTACAACACTATTTCTTGCATTTACTTTCATAGACACATATGGCTATCCCTCTAGAAATTTTTACAATTGATGTAGTCCATAGGAACATAGGAAGTTACCTTATATTGTGTCAAACCCTTGGCCCATCAAGCTCAGTATGGCCTACACTGACTGGCAGCAGCTTTCCAGGATTTCAATCAGGAGTCTTTTTTCCTACTTTGAGATGCTGGGGGTTGACCCTGGGACCTTCTGGGGGTGCAAGATAGATGCTCTGCAGCTGAGCTGCGCCCTTCCCCTGAGAAGTAAAAAGGACTTACATTGCAGGTGATGTTGAAGAGTGGGTGACATTTCATCCATGTTAAATTAATTAGCCTCAAACCCTAAAAATGGAACCGCCACTGCAGGGTGGTCTGAATACCAAAAACTGGATACGGCACTGGATTTAGGGCAATGCCAGCAGTTCCCCTGTACAGGACACCGAGCCAAGGTGGCACAAAATAGTAACAGCAACATCAACCTGTATTTCTGTGGGTACCTACTGAGAAGATCCATAAAAAAGCAACTGTGCCAAAAAGAATTACTGTGAAAATTAGAAAGATGGGGCAAGGGGTGCCAAATTTTGTCCTCGCTCAGGCTGCCATATACCAAAGTCCGCCCCTGCTGTGTATGAACAACACTAACCACCACCAACTTCAAGTTATGCCTGTGAACTTCTAATGTAGGCATCCACAAACTCAGCCCTCCAGATGTGTTGGGACTACAATTCCCATCATCCCTGACCATTGGTCCTGTTAGCTAGGGATGGTGGGAGTTGTAGTCCCAAAACATCTGGAGGGCAAAGTTTGGGGGTGACTGTTCTAATGGCTTATTATAGAAAACTTTTGGAAGCAGATTGCTGGTCAAGAAAGAAAGGCCTTTGCCTCAGCCAGAAAGGTACACCTTATACTCTAAATCTTAATCTTGATTGCATCACAGTGATACTGTTATTCTTTTCTTGGAAATCCTACCTAGTTTAGACAACAAACAAATGTAGTCTATCTCCATCCTTAACTGACAGGGATTTTAAAAAAAATGTTACAAAACCATCACAATTTCTTTTTCTTCTAGAACAGGCTTAGGACTCAAAAGTAAAAGGAATGAAAATAAGCCACACAAAGGCTTGTGTATGATTTAGAATTTAGGATTTTAAGTAAGAATGCAACAAATATCCATGATACGTTAAAAAAATAACTGGAATGCCAACCTTTGAAGCCTTATGTGCTATTGATTAGTGGCCTTCCTTCCTTTGCCATCTAACATTAACTTGTGGAAAAACTGAGCTGAGCTTCTGCTATCTTAATTAAAGTAAATATCCTGCATTCATCGTTGCAGATAAATACCCCAAATACAGCAACAGATTTCTGAACAGGTATCCCAGATTTGTGTAATAAAAAGGTGGGGTGGGCGAGGGGATTGATAACAGTTCACAAGTAGGCCAGTTGCACTGAATAGTGTCCAATATGGTGATTTTTTTATGATATAGTAGTATATAAATACTTTTATTAAAAAAATAAATAGCTCAACCTAATTTATTTGTTGCATTTGTATGCACTTTTTCCCTCCATGGAAATAAAGGTGACCTATGTGGTTCTTGTCCTTCTCATTTAATGCCTACAAAAACCCAGTGAGGTAGGTTAGGCTGAGAGGCAGTGGTTGTCCTAAGGTCACCCAAGGAGCTTCATGACCGGGGTGGGAATTTGAACCTGGTTTCCCAGGACCTAGTCCAGCACTTTAACCACTACACTACACTGGCTCTCCAGTGCTTTAATAGGGAATTGTGCTCAACAATAGCCCAGCACTCAATGCAGATGTAAGCATGGCAGCTATTGGAATGGGCAAGAGTGGTGAGCCATAGGCTGGCATGATGTGCAATAGCACACCAGCCAGCCAATTCTGCATTAGGTAGTATCCAAACTAGTGTGTGCCATTACAAGTTGGAAAATCCTGCCAATGCAAAAAAAGTCTATCCATTTTTGTACATTTGTCCTGAACATGCAGCCTGTCTTTTCACCAAAATAATTGGAGAGGTTTCATAGTCTTTCATGCTTAGAATGCTTATTTTTATGCAACTAGTATAGCTTACTTCTATATATATATATATATATATATATCCATATTCTTATATATTTTAGGTTTATTTTGCCCCCCCCCCCCAAAAAAATAGTCCATGCACACATTTCCTGAGTGTAGGCTGGGGAAATGTAGATCAGTAGAAAAGATGTACTGCAAATCACAAAGATGGCACAAAAATGTTCAAGGTGACTTGTTTTGCTCCCCATCTTATCTTATCTAGTCCTTGTATGAGGGAGATGTCTGATATGAACTATTGCTTGGTGTTGAATATGTGTTACACACACACACACACACACACACACACAGAGAGAGAATTTTAATCTTTGAAACCTTATTATGAACGTGCTTCAGTTAGCAGCCCAGTATGCCTCATAATCTAACATTAACAAGGGAAAAACATAATCTGTTTCCTGAGCTGGGCTAATGCAGTTTTCTGGATTAGTAGTTTACAAGGAAGAAGAAAAAGAAACTTCATCACTTTAAGCTTGATTCCAAATGTTCTGCAGCAACAGGGAAATGCAAACTTGGGCTGGAGCTCCTTTCTGCTGCCGTCTTCTGCGCCATTGACTGGATCTTGACAAATGGCCCACCACCACTTTCCATCGTCTCTTAAAAAACTTCAGATGGGAATGACTAATCTCTCTCTTTCTGCCATACTTTTCATACTTCTGCTGTCGTGTCCCAGCTTGTTAATAACATTTTAAATTTTGCTGAAAATTGTGTGTTGGCGTAATTGTCCCAAATGGTAGGACACTCAGATTGGATATTCAAGACACATGTTAAAGGAAGCCTCTCAGGGTGTTTTTTAACAGACAGTGTTATTTTGCTTTCTCTCCATCTGCTTCTTTTGTTGCATCTCAAGTTTGAACATGGGAGTTAGGCTGTTATGGGAGGCAGTGAAGAACCTGGGATGCCATCGGGAAAAAAAGCATCTTTGAAAAAGCTGAAGTCAAGGAGCTGGAAAGATGTCCTACGTTCCCTTTGTTGTTGCTGTTATCTACCTATTTAAAGCTGGCCTTCCTGAAAGAACCCACTATTTGCAACCATCTCTGTTCCCTGGATCTTTTTTAAAACAGCGAAAACACAAGAGACACTTTGTTTGCAGTGCAGCAGAACAGAATATGGAAGGAGATGAGAATCTGAATAACATTTCAAGAACCCAAGAGAAACAGTGAAGATAACATGTTGCTTCTATCTGTTCTACATCAACATTTATTCAGACTTCCTTCTTATCTCCATACCAGAAGTATTAGGTTCAATAAATATCTGCTCGTACTCTGTAATTCTGTATTTCGTCACTTTTTTTAACCAAAAGGGAAGAAGAAAGAAAGCTAGATAACATTTTTCCATTTACCTGGGTTTTGAGGGGTTGCTGCATTCCAAACAGTTAGCCTTGAGTATTTTGTTTCTCTCACAAAACTCTTCATTCCCAGTGCTCAGATTAGATAACAGTAGATAGGATCCTGACCCCCTTAGCTGCTGTTTTGAGAAATTGAGGTGGGGGGATTATATGGCTAAAACAGGGCTGGGCCTTATGGAATTTATTACAGCCAGCCAGTCTCCTCCTCATTCAAGCAGTGATCTGGCACAATATTTGCTACTGAGGACTGAAGCACAGAGCCCAGGACTTTACCAGAGCAACATGAAACTAGGCAATGGGTTTTGAGAACTGTGCAAGGCAACTTTTGCTAGGCTGGTGCACTACATGGGTTTTAGGATACAGTTATGCTGACTGAGGCTGATGGCAGTTGTACGCATCTAAAAGGGCACCAGGTTGATGAAGGCTGGCATAAGGTCTGGCCCACAGAGTTTGTGTTTGTGTGTTTATATAATATATCTGCTTTGGAACATCCTCCCCTAAATCACATGATTCTGAAGGAGAAGAAGCAGGATGATACAGCAAGAATTGGGGGGGGGGGGAGTAATAAGAAACAGAAGTAGAAAAATCAACAAAGAAATGAAAATATGATACTATGTTACACTACTGTGAACTAAGTGTAGCTCATTATATTTGCAACCAAATCTATCTATGTCTAGTCTAGTCACTCATTTATTACTTATTGCATTTATATCCTCCTTTTTCCCCCCAAGGAGCTTAAGGTGATGAACATGGTTCTCCCCTTCATAATTCAATCCCCTCAACAACACTGTGAGACTGAGAGGCAGTGACTGGTTTCCAAGATCACCTAGTATGCTTCATGATGTTTTGAACCCTGATCTCCCAGATCTTCATCCAACACTCTAACCACTACAACCACACTGGCTGTCTAGTCCAGCATTCTGCTCCCACAGTGGCTAATCAGATGCCTATGAGAAGCCCTGTGATGTGGCTTGCCCCCAGCAAAGGAGAGACTCGCCCCCTCTGTGGGTGCCAGAGAAGATTGCTGCAGTGCTATGCACAAGGAAGGGGACATTGACAAGAGAAGCAACTCTTTGTGAAGGTTGTCCTGGCCCTGGACTTTGACGGGTGTCCCCAAACTAAAGAGAACTTTGGAAGATTTTGACACAGTTGCTGCCTCCACAGTGCATTCCTTTTTGTTTCTGATCCCCCAAACAGTCAAAACCTGTTTAGCTCCACCTACTTGGTCTAATGGACCAATTACCAAGACATTGCAAATGACAGGACATTCAGGGCACATTGGCAATGTTATGGGTACAGTGGTTCAGCTGAGGGCAGAGAGACATAATCTCTTTCAGTCCTTCACCTGATCCTTTAGGGCAGCGGTTCTCAACCTGTGGGTCCCCAGATGTTGTTGGACTACAACTCCCATTATCCCTGAGCTCTGGCCTTGCTAGCTAGGGGTGATGGGAGTTGTAGTCCTACAACATCTGGGGACCCACAGGTTGAGAAAGGCTGCTTTAGGGTAGGAGTGGGGTGATGGGACAAGCGTTTGAGCTAGAGCAAACCTGCCCTGTGGCAATCCAGAACTTGTGTTGGATGCCTGGCTGTCTATCTTGAAATAAAGAGAGAAGGCCTTTCAGCTCGCTTCAAACCCAGTTTGTCCAGAGAGAAATTCAGGAGTGGGACACTACGTCCCTCTAGAACAAGGTGTAGTCAGCCTCCTGAAGAACATTCTAGAGATGGTATACCATTAAAGAGAAAGCCCTTATCTAAGAAACAATAGATTTAGCCCTGCAGATGCTGTTGGTCTCCAACTTCCATCATCCCTGATGGCCATGCTGGCTGGGGTTGTTGGGACTTGGGGTCCAACACAGGGCATGTGGAAGAAGCCCCATATTAAGTTCTACAGATTTTGATGGAGCAAGTATGCTTTGAGTTGTAGCTGTAGCTCCAGCCAACCCAACAACATGACATTGCCTATGGCAAAACCCATCAGCCGGAGCGGTGGTTGTCCAAAATCAGTTTGAAGTGTGACAGTGTAATGGTCTAGATACGTCCTTTGAGAAAGTCGTTGGTAGTCTAGGAGTTCTCCCACTTTCTCTTGTACCTTTCAAGACAGTTTGCAATGTTCATCTCCCTTGGACTTGTGTGCTGTATGTTTGTGTGGTGAATATGCAGAAATGATATCTCACTAGGACAAAACTGGGATGAATGCAAATGTATATTGGAAATAAAGTTCAGAATTTTATGACCTTCTCTCATTGCATCTGCCACCCGACACCCCATGATTCTTTCATGTCCTTCACCTTTTTGTGCTGTGGAGTTGGGATGCATCCTTTTGCTACTAAATTTTGGTAATTTGCCTCACCACTGTGGACACCTGTTATATGCCTTTTTTTTCTTTTCTTTTGCATTTCCTCCCCTCTTAATTCCAAAAAGTGCCTTATTGGACATTAGAATTGACACTTTAATTATTCATTTTTAAAGATTGCAGATCATTTTAATTCAAGAGCCTTGGTGCTAGTTTTATTTCAATTTTTTCCAGCATGGTTCATTTCTAGAGATCCAGCCATTTGTAGGAGTTTGCTTCCATTTGCAGGAATGGCCAAGGGGTCGGAGTCCTAATGTCTTTTTTCTATAACCTTTGCCTGGTTCGACCTGAGCAGCATTTGTTGTGGGAGTAGCAAAAAAAAAAATATCAAACAATTCCCAAAGAAAGAGCTGGTAGGGTTGGTTGGGGAATGCCAGGGGTGTCTGGCAGTGTGGGGTGATAACACTAATATATATATATATTCATGAAGAGGTGAGGGAAAAAAGGTTTCCCCTCCAGCACCAGTGTGGTGGTGTGGACCCTTATTTCACCTTCCTAGGACCCTCCTCATATTCCCCTCTCCTTTTCCACGGCAGACCTGACAGAGGTTGAATGCTCTCTTCCCAGCAGAGAGACCTCCCTTGAGACAGAATACGGCAGGGGGCCACTGATGGCGCTTGTCTGTTTTGTCTTTCTAGAAAACGTCCATCTCCAACCCGGAACGCTGCTGCACCTGAGAGGCTCGAAGCTCTGAAATACCAGCGGATAAAGAAGCCCAAAAAGTCATCCAAGGGCTCCTCGAAATCCAAAAAACAAATCAGTGAGTGCGAGGAACACGAGACTCCCGGCTAATCGTCCCACCCCCCGCCCTGCCTGCCCCTTGCCACTTTGGGCCTGGCACAATACTCATTGAAGTCAATGACTTGTAATGAGAATTGATTCCGTCTCTGGGCCTAGAGAAAGTGTGCTACTCTGTCCTGTTTTTTCACCTGTTCACGGGATCTTCAGAAGTGAAAGGTTCCACCACCCACCCACCCCACTGATATTTGCCTCCATCCCTTAAGCCAAAAGGTAGTTTGTAGCCCTTTTCACCTCCAGTTTGTATAGACCCTGAGCTGGTGTTCCCTACAGTTTTCCGGTGGATTTCTCTTTAAACTCAGCTCCTGTGTCTCATTTCCTTTTTCCTCCTACCCCAGTTCCTCAATAAACTCTCCTAACTCCTCCTCCTCCTCCTATTCTGCCCTCCTCTTGGTTACATCTTTATTTAAACAAAACCCTGCCTCGTTCCCAAGGATCATCCATCCTCTCAGCAATCCCATGAACATCTCACACCCTCTCCGCATAAAGCAAACCTTCCCACCCCAAAGCATTGCTTTTCTTTCCCCTGTTCTCCTACAATCACGCAACTTTTCATGTGCTAAAATAATACCTCTCTGCCTTGATTATATTTTAAGTTGTGTACTGAACTTCTTTTTTCCTCCTTCTTTTTGTTGTTGGCTTAAAAAGAACAAAGAACGAAACAAAACTGCTGATTGCCTGTGCATCCCACCATGATGCCTGTGCAAAATGCCTAACCACCCTCTTCCTCTGCCCTTGTCACCTTCCTCCTCAGATGGTTCTGCCTCCCAGGTTCAGCAACACCCTAACTCTCAGGTACTGTGGCCTGACGAAGCTGTCTGTCTCCGGAAGAAGAAGAGACATCCTCGCCAGGACCCCTTTGCCCGCCTCTCAGCACTGAAGGATGACCTCTGCCACCGGCAGGTTCCTGAGGACCAGACAGCCATTCTCAACAGTGTGGACCATGATGATTCCAGTGGGCATGCAACCTTACTTTAGAGTAGCACCAGCCAGAGAAGGGACAAGGGGGAAGCTGGGTGTGTATGTGTGGAGGGGTGGGGCAGGATAAGGGTGCAAATATCTTGTGATCAGGCAGAATCTACAGAGAAACAGTGGGGAGAGAAGAAGCTGAAGCACAGGTGTGTGTGCGCGCGTGTTTGTGGCTCATCCATACTGGAGGGTGTGGGCTTCAGTCTTGTTTTTGGGTACCAACATGGGGGGCGGGAAGTGCCTAACAAAGCAATTAATAACTTATGGTGCGCAATACCCTTGTGTGGTATTTGATAGGAGTAAACCCAACATGAAGTCTTTGACCATTGCGGGGGGGGGGGGTGTTTGCATCTCCCTGTAGCATTTTCAGTTGCAATGCAATCCGTTAGGATAGGCAATATCCAAAATGAGAGAGGAAGGGAGGTGGGTGGGCATGGGAGAAACATCTCTGCTTAAGCAAATCAGCTTTGTTTGGATCTCCTGCAGAGGATCAGGCAAAGGAAGAGCTCAGTGCATGGAGTTCTGTAGGAGAGGGAAATGGAGCTTCGAAGTGACCACCCTTTGTAAAAAATATTCATCATAATAATCTGGTGAGCCTCAAACCTTCTTCTCTGTGCTGTGGCTTCCGTCTTATGTGTCCTGGAAGGAGGATGAGATTTTACAACTTGGTTTCCAAAATTATATATATATACAGTGGGGGTTGTTTTTCTAAAAGAAAAAAAAAGTATAGATACAGGATACAATGTATATTTATACAGTGTGTGTTTCAATTTAGGTAGAAAACACTGGGGGGGAGAGAACAAGCTTTCCTAATTTAGGGAGTGGGTTGGGAGTGATATAAGAATTACCACAGGAGTATCATGTGATGCAGTTAAGAAACCAAGATTTCAAGCTGAGGTTTATGACCCGATGGATTTTATTAATGTGGTGCAAAAATTGTAATGGAAAAATTACCAGCACACAAACACACACACACAAACACGCAAAATCTGCTTGTTTCAACTGTCACACCTTTTTGATGTCTGAATATTCTGAGTGAAAGTACAAATTACAGTTTACTTTCTTATCTGTCAAATGAAGACCTAGAATTAGAGTATGTATTGTGTTTTGCACAGTTGAATCAATGTACACGAGAACCTTCTTAATTTCCACTAAAAAGGCTGGAAGGTACCTATTTTTTCCCCAGACTAGAAAAGAAGTTGGCAGCTTGTTGAAAAATTCTGGTATTTGCATTCATCTCCCTGATCATAGATTGTTGCAAATGGTAGGTTTAGAATGGCTAATTTAAAAGTGCAAATCCTGATAATGCTAGTATCTGTTCAGTAGTATACTATGAAGAAAAAGAGTCTTCGTACAGCAAAACCTTACTATATCAGTGCCTCCATTCACATAATGTCTGCTGAAGTGAGGAAAAGCTGTTTTAACTCTGTGTGTGAGCATTACTAGGCGAGGTTCTCTGTGATTTCTTATGCTTCCAGTCCTTTCCCAGACAGTAAATCAGGTGTGGTGTTCCAATGCAGCAGAATGCAGTGGCAGAGTCCTGAGGTGGTGGAATCCACAACACCACTCATAACAATAGGTTGTGGGTTCACAGCTAGGGGTGTCAGAGAATTCAGATAAAAATGGAAATGGGATAGGCAGTTGCTGATGTTCGCTTATTCATTCAGTGTATAGAACCAGAATCAGTCCACTGAAAATGATTGGTATTTGCTGCTGCTTCTTCTTTCTGTTCACATACAACATGTAATTGATTGCATACCCCCCTTCCATTGGCATTGTGTTTCCATTCATTGAAATGATTGGGGTGGAATAACCTAATGGCAACGCAACTTGCATAATTAAGTTACATGATTTCAGCACCGCGGACAGCAAGTTGAATAGTGTAGTTTTGGTGGAAGTCAAACTACAGTGGAATGAAAACTTAGTTGCACATTATGAAAAAGATGCCCTGTTCACAACCTACAAAATTAGCTGCAAATACAAAATGAGCTCAGTGCTACTTTTATTTTTACAGCCGCTTTTAAAAACTGAATGAACACAGGGGCATTCAGAATAGGTATCCCTTTATGTCCATAGCTCAGTGGCAGAGCATCTACTTTGCAATGAGCAGCTCCCAGGTTGAATAGTCCATGGCATCTCCATGGAGGCCACTGTCAGTTAGCATAGACAATACGAAGCAAGATGGACCAGGGGTCTGACTCAGTGTAAGGCAGCTTCCTCTATTCCTGTGAAGTGATAAGTCCATTCCGCCATCTCAGGACAGTTCTCTCTCACTCTTCTGCAGGAATAGGCCATGCCTCCGTGTCAGCAAGTGCCAACAGCATTAATCATGGGAAGGAGTTTTGGAATGTGACTTCTTATCTTGTTTTGCTGAGTGCAGAACGTGTTTCAAGTAGCAGCTAGTGAAACCAAATTCCACAGGCCTCTCCAGCATTGTTTGTTCATATGCATCTTGGCATCTGGCTTCACTTATACGATTTCCTTCTTTGTTTGATTCTTAAGGGTGTGTCCCATCATGCCATATTTCATTTTGCTTGTTAACACTCTAGAATAAATAATCCCACCCACTCATGCAGGTCTATATGCACTTTTTCCTCCTAGTATAGTGGGGCTGGGTTATTTATTTTACTTCCAACAGTACAAATGCACCCATACGTTGGCCATACCCAGGTGAATCAGTCTCCCTGGGAAGAGAAAGGTGTGTTGTTTATGGGGTGAGGAGTGGGGAATGGGACGGGACACTGGGGTGGTGTTGTGAAATAGTGGGGCTCTAGGAATGTGCAATAGCCAAGTTTTGATGGTGCTATATACCAAGCCTGAACAACTTATGGTCTGCCAACCGAAACTCAGACCCTCAGCTGTCTACAGTAGCCTGCTGAGTACCTGTATGGTGGTATGGTTAGGGTGGTGTACTACGACCCAAATTAAAATGAGGGGGGCAGATGAATCTGTCTTTCACTTCTGTGTGTCTTTACCATTTTTTTTCTGTTCTGTTTCTGTATTAACAAGTCAGAGGAGTGTGAAATTGGGTGGATTGCAAAGTTCTGATCACATCAGCCTAAGAGGTGTGGATGAAAGGTTGAACTCTTCAATGATGCTCAATGTATATCCCTCCTCAGTCACTGGTGACCTTGGGCCCCAGTCATACGCTCCCAGCCTAGCCTGCCTCACAGGGTTGTTATGAGGATAAAAACAGATGGTGCTGGGATATGTATATATATATATATATATATATATATATATATATATATATGTGTGTGTGAAGAAAGCAGGAGGTGAATTGTAATAAACCAACCCAGGTGTTCAGTTAACCTCCTTTTCTCATTGCCTGGCTGGGACTGCAGAACCAGAAGGCCAGTTGAGCACATGGCAGGCCCACAGTGAGTGGCCAGCAGGCTGGTTTGGCTTGGTAGGTCACAAGTCACTATGCAGGCCTCATTTAAACAAAATTAGCAGACAACCTGAACAAGGGGACTACAGGATTGGGTAAATGGTTGTGGGGCTGCATGTCAATATGTATGTGTGTGTGTGGCCAGGATGCAAAGAGCTGTTCTACCTACAGACTTGTGAACACCTGGTAGAAATTTCTGCTTTTTCAGTCAATTTGATTTTGAAACGCCTCTTCCTTTTCCCCACTTGGTTTTCAGACTTGCTTGCTAGGCAACCTGGGAGCAACAAAAATCAAGGCTCACTGGGTGCGCAGAAGTAATAGTAGTTCTTTGAATCCTGGCATGTGATAATAGAGTATGCCAGTGGCCTCGAAGGAGTGCCAGTCTTAGGGTACATCTGTGCTATAGACTTGTTTAGGAGTAATTCTCCCTTCCCAGGGAATACCCTCACCAGACTGCTGTGCCCAGGGTGCTTTTGGGGGAAGTTACGAGAACCCGGTAGTACAAAATCTATACAAGTTTGTAACATAGCTTTTGCTAATGCCATTTACAGAAAAGCTTGGTCCTCTCTGGCAAAGGTATGGCATATTGAAGGGGGTGGGCAGAACAGACAAGAAGCACAGCCAAAGCATGGATGGATGTTGTGAGCAGTTGTGATGCAGAACAGCCTTCTCCCACTTGGTATCCTCTAGCTGCTTGGGGAAAAGAACTAGTGGATGCCTGTTTGATTGAGGTTGGTTGCCAGTGGTGCAAGAATCATAGAATCGCAGAATTGTAGAGTTGGAAGGTATCATGAGGGTTATCTAGTCCAACCTCCTACAATGCAGGAATCTTTTCCCCAACATGGGGTTTAACTCATGACTCTGAGATTAAGAGTCTCATGCTCTACCGACTGAGCTATAGACTGTGACATCATCATCTGTCAATGTGAACTCTCCCTTGGGCTAGATATGATAGATGCTGTAGATTTTAACCGACTGCTGTAATTCTCAGAAGCCCTGCATTGTACTATGTTTGAAAATAGCATCTTCTCATTTCTACCTTTGTATAGTCAGGTTCAATATGCCTTTTCTTGACTGCACAAACCCTGTGAGAGAGGAAGCTATGGACTAATGGAGCAGGTGAGTGCAAGGTGGGCTGAGAAACTCTGGGTCACAGTTTCCCTTTCCTGGGTCTGTTCCAAGCCTGAGGTTACCCAGTCAGGCATGCATGCAGCTCAGCCACCTATGCCTCAGTGCCTCCCACTTATAAAGTAGGGGCTCGCCGTACTTCAAAGCACTTTGTAAGACCTTTCTGATTAAATCCGCTAATGCCAAGTATTGTTAGTAGTACAGTTCCTTCATATTAAAAAGTAACAACTTCTTCCTAAGCAGCAAGAGCAAATAACTTACTTCCAGGTTCTTCCCTGACTGATGGAGTGCTCACTGCCAAATCCTGTGTGTGCTTCACTCAGAAGTCTCACTTCCTCCAGTGGAACTTTCTTCCAAGAAAGCCTGCTTAGGATTTGCAGCCCAAGGCCTTAGTTTGTCAGGTTTACTTTTATTAAGGTGGTACTTTGTTCTTTGAGAAATTCAGGAAATGAAAACAAAGTCCCAGAATGGCCTTTGCCACCCTTGGTGCCGTGCTGGCTGGGGTTGATGGGAATTGTAGTCCAAAACATCTGGAAGCGGCACCAGGGCTGGTGAATGCTGCTCTAGAAGTACTTTGTGCACTTGTTTACAGAGGAGCTCCCCTAGATGTGCTTCCCAGGGTTCATTTGGTTCATTTGAAATATGGGCGCCTGGTCGTTTTTACTGGTGTTGCTAAGTTTACAGATATTTTGAATATATGATGCATCCTTATAACAAGTGAGACTGTTGATCTTACCTAGTCCAGTATTATGACAGCAGCTCACCCAGGTCTTGGGTGGAGGTCTTTCCCTGTGCTGCCATGAAAGAGCTTTTCATTTGGGATGGGGAGCAGTGTGAGATCTTAAGATGTATGTGTAGGAAGAAGATTAATGGGTCCCTCCCCCACAACATTCCTTGTGCCATATATGTGAACATGCACTCCTTGTTAACATGGGGAGAAAGGCACTTTCAGTGCAGACAAAAATTCTGGTCAATTGTGGTTTATTTGCGTAGGCAAGAGGGGGCAGGGCTAGGAAATGCTTTCAGCCCCAAATGTGAAAATGCTCATCATTTTTCTTTCCCTAGAATTATTTCTGTAAAAAATGGCTTAGGATCTTAAGATGGATTCCCCATGTTTCTCCCAGTTTGAAATATACTGAGAATATTTATTGGGGGCTGGGGAAATGAGCTCTTTTCCCATGCCCACCCTGTATTCATAAACACACCACCAGCTTTAAACATATGATAAACATGGAACCCACTCATTCTTCTTTTCTTAGGTATAAGCACTGCTGTGAGCCACTCCTTTTGCAAGCTTTCTCCATAGTAACTTCCATGCAAATTCAATGGCAGTTCATGTCTGCAACTAGGCTTTCCCTTGACAAGCCCATGATGCTAAGGAAAATGTGTTGTGGCTGTTGCTCCCTGTAAGAGGAATGTGAGAGAAACCCTTGTGGTTGTGCTCATTATAAGAGGGGCCTGGGAAAGGAACATTCTGCTAGACTGCTTTTTGGCTTGTCTTCAGGCACACTAGACAGCCAGCTCAGCAAATCTAAGCAGGTTTGGGTCTTTTCAATGCCTGCATGCGAGACCTCTGATGCCCATGGACATTGCCTTGTGTTCTTTTGAAGGAAGGTGGGCAATAACCACCTTACTTCCAATAAAGTAAATAGGTAGTTCTGGTCAGAATCCAGAGAATCGTGCAACTGTGCTCACAGGAGGATTAGCAATTCAGTTTCTCACTCAGCAATCTCCTGTGCCATGTTTTAAAAACTCATATTTCATGGAAGGCTAGTTGTTATGGGATGGGTAAGATCTCACTAGGCATGCACAGAACTCTTTGAATTCTTACCTCTGAGTTCCAGAGGTCCCATATTGTCTCTTTCATTCCAAGAGTCTTATTTAATCCTTCCTGATGGTGCTATAGGGGGTTCTCTAATAATTCTAATAAATCAGCTGCTATAGGCACAACTGATATTTTAGTGTGTTTTGGCCAACCAAGGCCTGGACTAGTTTTACCATTAAAGGACATGGGAGAAAAGACTGAGACTGTTACTCCAGCTAACTGGTGTTGGTGCTAATTTTTGTGGGATTTTATTTTTATTTTTAAGGAGTGTTTCTTTACTTGCTTCTATCCCCAGTCTCAACAGTGAGGGGGGGAGTAGTTGATTTTCAAGAGACTTTCCTTCATGTTCTTAGGGGCATTGAAAACATTTAGTTCTGTAAGAGGGTGTGTGGTTTCCTTCCATGATAAAATATATTTATGTGAATATGTGTGTGCTTAATTGTATGGACTTTAAAAATAATAATACTCATTTGCCTGGCACTATTCAAGCTAGACAAAAACAGCCTGAGTAAGCCTCCATTGAACCTCAAAGAGCTTACTCTTGAGGAAGTATGTGTAGGGACTGCAGCTGGATTGCAGAAGGGCAAGACTGGTAGTTTCAGAACTGTCCAGATCATGATTCTGGGAGGTGTGTTTATTTCTAGTGAAAAATTGTGTGCACTTAATTGTTAATAATTCTTCCCCGTTTTGCGGTCCTTTTAGAACAACCTTTCATAAACTTCTTCAGAGAAGTCTCCTTGGAATCTCTGAGAACCCAGGATTTTTTATTCCTATGTTATGCTAGGTGTTTCTCCTTTATCCCATTCTTTCCCCCGAAATACAGTTTTTGTTGTCAAGGTCAGGATTTGTGTTTGTTGTTTTAATTTTGTAGATCTGTGCTTGTTTTGTTCTTTTAATTATTCTGAGGAACTCTGAGATATATTGTGCTGTTATTTCCATAGTAATTACTCTTTATGGTATTTGTTTCCTAAATTTCCTGTGAGTCCCAGGGGATATAGCAAAAATACATTGTGAAAAAATACGAGACACCGGCAGCAAGAATGTCTTTCACTGTGGTATACAAAGGCTTCTATCCCCGCCCCCTTTTGAGAATGTAAATGAAATACACTGATATTATCACTTCCCTTTCATTAAGTATTTGTACCATTAATATGGCCTATACATCTTGTGACACATCAGTCCAAAAACGTGTATAGTGATAACCCACAAGGGGTTCTATAAATGTCTAAAACCCACCCTTCCTTCCTTCCTTCCTTCCTTCCTTCCTTCCTTCCTTCCTTCCTTCCCGGAAATGCATTGTGGGTGTGTAGACTTGTCAGAATAGGATGCAATTGCTTTGGTGGACTGCACAGGCTTAGAGCAAGACTTTTCATGTCAGTATTTATTGAAGTGATTATGGGAAGGCTGTTTTGTATGTTCTGAACTCTGCTAGATTTTGACAAGCTACCCATTCCGAGTGACAGGATGGTCAAAGGGATTGTGGACTTTGCAGGATGGAATGGTATAGTGCTGTATTTTGCTGCAGATAGTATGCAAGTTGTGTTTCCAGAGAGGAAAACAACTGAGGAAGGGAAAGTTGATATTATTTTTTAAAATCTAATTATTAGTTTTTAAAAAATAGTTCAGTCAGTAACACATGCTTTCTAATAGCAGTTCTATCATCACTAGAACTAAAAAGGAAAGGAAAGGAAAAAGAAAATGGCATAGAAGCTTCCCTTGTGCTGTGAATATTAATAATGAAAATAGGATGATAATTTATTCACACCACCTTCCCTTGAAAGTCATCCAAAGTAGAGGTGCAGATCAAAAGTTGTCCAGGACTTTTTGGCAGAATAAAGTGGTGTTGGCTTCCTGCTTCCACCATCACCCTGCCATAAAAACATAATTAAGAGGTGCTCTGCTGGATCAGATGAAACATCCATCTATTCCTGTTTCCCACAGAAGTCAAACAGACTCCAGAAAGACAGGGCTTTAAAAAAGGACCGTTCCTCACAGTTTATCCCCAGCATCTGTATTGAATGAATTGAAAGGTTCCACTCAGCTGTTGTGGTCAATGGTCTCTCATGGACATTGTAACCCCTTTTAATAAAGCCATTGCTAAACCCTGTGGAGCAGACAGGCTTGCACTGTTCCCTTTTGTTTTAGTCACTGTGCTTGGGACACCCTCCAAGCACCCTGAATAGTGTGTTTAAATCCTGGGCATGGTGCCAGAACATTGCAGTTTACCCTCCGTAGAGACCCTCTGGCACCAGGCTCCAACACAGAACTTGGCAGTGTTGATCTTACCTTGATTTCTTTGTTTTAATTAAAGAAGGAGGAATGTATATCAGAACTTAGCGATATATACAGAGGAACTATAGGAGAAGCAGTTAGATGTATTTGCAGGAAACTAGTATATTTGCATGTAGAACTAACATTTGGTGTTAAAGGCTTGGTAGAGGGTGGGGTGGGGAGAAGGCAGTATGGGGGTGGGATGTGGGGCAGGTGGGCAGGTGGAAATAGACTCCAGACTGGATTGTGGGGTAGAGGTGTGTGGCAGTTTCTCCTCTGGCCTCTGTGCACGACAAGGATGCAGTTCTTCATCTGCACAGAGTCTGATGATAATAAGAATAATGATCGTAGTTAATCATTGCACTTCATTGACACTACTAAATTATGGAGTGAAAAAAGGGATACTGAAAATATTTCAAATGTCTGGTATGTACATGAAGTTCCTCATGGTTCAGCTGTGGCTGTATTTTGTAGGGAAGTGCCCCTTTCAGAAAGGTTTTGAGCCCATTGGATTAGTTTACTGAATCAGGATGGAGAAACAGTTTCTGGAAGGCTTCTGCAAAACCTGTGTAACTGGAGATAATGGCAGGTCAAATGAATCACGATTTAGAAAGGATGCATCTTATCACACCACTGTTCTGCGAAGCACTGAGTAATTTTGCTGGTCTCACTAAATCT